GGACGCAGCCTATTTCCGAGCCTGCGCCTTCTTGTGGTCGCAGTTCCGGCCTGGTGCGGAGGCCTACTCCGTTCTGTACCTTGTGCGAAATGGCCTGATTGCTGTGGTGCCGGTGTTGCCATCCTTGTCTGCTCAGATCGTGACGATGAACGTGATCCTCTACTCCAGCTCCCTCGTGGTTTCCCTCGTTCAGCCATGGCGCTCGAGGGCTGGCAACCTGCTGGACGTGATGCTGCACGTTGGCTTGCTGGTTGTGCTAGACATGGCCTCTGCTTTCGCACGGTATTCTGGCTCTGATGGTGGGACGTCCGTGGCCATTTGCTTGTTCTTCCTGCTGCTCATGACCTTGGCCATCGTCACTTCGGCGGCCTCTGGCATCATTCTGCACGTGGCTCGCGGCCGGCGAAAGCCGTGGCGTTTCTTCCTGTCCCACCAGAAGAGCAGCGCTGGAGCTTTCGCGCGGCTGCTCAAGACCCAGCTTCTGAGAAGAAGCTCCCGGTACACGACCTTCATGGACACAGACGACCTCCGGGATCTCACGGAGCTCTTTGGCTTCGTGAGAGACACCCACACCTTCGTCTTCCTGGCAAGCCCTGGGATCCTCCAAAGGAAGTGGTGTATCGGGGAGGCGGTCACGGCGAAGCTGTCGGAGGTCCGCACGGTGATGGTGCGGTGGCCCGGGTATCAGGATCCAGACGAGCACTTCAGGGAGAACCTGGCCTTCGTGATTCCCGGGGTCGAAACCCTGACCAACTACGGCATCTCCCTTGAGGATGTGTCGGAGACCTTGCTCTGGATCAGCACGGTGGACTCCTTCCCGATGCCGGCCACCCTGAACTTGCAGACCCTCGGCCGCCTCTGTGAGTCCTTGACAGGGACCGTGGGGCAACAACGCTCCTTTTCTTCGGAGGAGCCTCGCTTCCCCGACTGCCTCCTCTTGGTGGACCCAGACAATCTGGAGGCAGTGGCCACGGCCTACGTGCTCTATGAGCTCCTCCTGCCCTTGGTGAGCAAGGCGCTGCAGTGCTCCTTTCCCTACGTGCTCAGCAAAGGCCAGGGCGTTCCGACCAGCTCGAAGACCGCACTGCTGATCTGCTCCCAGGGGTGCCTAGACTCTTTCCACCTTTCGAACTGGATCCTCGAGGCCGTGGAGCTGCGCTGCTGCGTGATCCCGATCATTGCGGAGCCCGGCTTCGTCGTGCCCACGGACTTCGGCCCCGGCTTGCAGAAGCGGACGCCCGACTACGCGGGCATCGTGCAGGCGATCTTCAAGGAGATCGCGACGGTCTTCGCCCCGCAGGCCTACTCCAGCACGCAGGAGGACGTCCCCCAAAATCTTCCCAGCGCCAGCTTGCTCAGATTCTTTGGGGCCATAAAAACCGGGCATGCTTCTCACAACTCTTCTTTTGCACAGTGGTTCTCCAGAACAGCGAACAGGACTTGCAGCTGCGCGCGAAACAGATCGCCTTCCGCCTGCAGTCGAAGATGTCGGGGCGTGGCACGCAGCTGATGCAGCCCGCGCGCCCTGCAATTGACGAAGGGCACCTGCCGTACCTCGACACCCCCTTTTGTTGGGACGTCCTTCACTTTCAGCACGTTCTGTAAGCATGTTCTGGCGATTTTTTTTTTTCTCTCTCTCTCTCTCTCCCTCTCTCTCTCGCTCTCTCTCTCTCTCTCTCTCTCTCTCTCTCTCTCTCTCTCTCTCCTCTCTCTCTCTCTCTCTCTTTTTGTCTCTTTTTTTGGGTGCATGCTGGCAGCCGGGGGAGGGGGGAAGGGCATGAGGGACCCGAACTAACAAACGGGAGTTCCACGAACCCAAAACCCTCAGCCCTCAACCCTCAACCCCAAACCCTCAACCCTCAACCCCCAAACCATCCACCCTAAACCCCAGACCCCAAACCCCAAGCCCTCGACCCTAAACCCCAAACCCTGAACCCTAAACCCCAAACCCTAAACCCCAAACCCTCAACCCCAAACCCCAAACCCTAAACCCCAAACCCCGAACCCTCAACCCTAAACCCTAAACCCTCAACCCGCAACCCTAAACCCCAAACCCCAAACCCTAAACCCCAAACCCCAAATCCTAAACCCTAAACCTGAAACCCCAAACCCTAAACCCGAAACCCCAAACCCTAAACCCCAAACCCCAATCCCTAAACCCCAAACCGTGAACCCTAAACCCCAAGCCCTCAACCCTAAACCGAGGCGCGACCTTGGCCTGATCGAAGTGAATGGGCCCCCGCCGGAGATGGTGGAGGGATCCAGGAGCTTGGGGCCCAGTGTGTGGAAGTTTTCTGCATCGTCTTGGGGGTTTGAGTGGTTTGAGGGGTTTAGGGTTTAGGGTTGGTTTAGGGTTTAGGGTTTAGGGCTACGGAGCACCGAAAGGGAGCAAGCTGATGATCGCGCAACATTAGCCCCTCCGTGGTTTCAGGAGCAGCATGGACTTTGCACTCCTTGGGTCAGACGAAGTGCGGATGTATCGGGTGGGGCCGGCTGAAGAAGAGACTTCTCAGACGGATGAGGCGGTTGAGTCACTTGTGTCTCTGTAAGATGTGGCTTAGGGTTTAGGGCTTTTCGGGTTTGTTTTGTGGTTTTTGGGGTTTAGGGTTTGATTGTGGAGCCCTTCACAGGCCTGGTGACACAGGGTGTTGGTGCTATAGGAGTCCAGTAGACTGTGTGGGCCTAGACGCGGCTGTAAGAATAGAATGGTACTGCGTTTCTAAGAGACGAACGTCCTCCGTGGCGATCTCTCTCCTGTTGACCAAATATGTGAGAGTTCGCTTTAAGGCATTCTCCCACATGCAACGAGAATTCGGAAGATTATTTTTCGTTCTTTTACGCGAGACGGCTTGGTCCGCTATGTTGGAGGAGCTGCTTTGACCCCCAACGAACACTTGCACCTGCATTGGCGCGCCCTTGGCGCGCATCGAAACATTGCTGGTCAGTTCTCTGAATGTGGGATGTTCCCCGTTTTCCTAACAGTCCTTAATCGGGATTATAAGAGGGGGTACGGTAATCCCTATTAAGGTTTGTTAGTATAAGGGGGAACTTCCCAACTCTGAATCATCTTCGGGAAGATGCGGAAGTTTGCCATCGACTTTTCCCTGAAACCCTAAACCCCAAGCCCTAAACCCTAAACCCTAAACCCTCAAACCCTAAACCCTAAACCCTAAAACCCTAAACCCTCGAAAACCAAAAGCCCCGAGCCCTAAACCCTAAACCCTAAGTTCCCGTCGCTGTTGGACAAGTGTTGGAGTGGTATTGGAGTGGTCCACAGTGAGCGTGGCATGCGCTTTAGGGACTCATCTTCTTGGCTTTCTTCTGGCTGGCTCTTAGGACTTTAACTTTTTTTTGGGTTGTTGTAGAAACTACAATAAGGAGCCTAAAGAGTAGTAGGGGTTCAGAAGTCAGCCAAGTCTTTGGAGTGCTCACCTCCGCATCCTAAAGCCCTCCACTTAACCACGATGGGAACCCAAGACACGTACCCATGTGACAGAGAGTTTGTGGACATCCCCACGCGCTGTTCATGACCTGAGTTGTCTGCTTATGGGGTCGACGTCTGCCCTTCCTTACCCGAAAACGGCCCTACAAACCCTACAAAACCCTGTAAAACCCTGTAAACCCTTTAAACCCTATAAACCCTATAAACCCCATAAACCCTATAAACCCCTTCAACCCTTTCAACCCTAAACCCTCCAAAGCCCCCACACAGACAACTCACCGAGGCTCCAGCGGGTTGGGACTCGGGGGGTTCGGTCCTTGCAATGTCGGAGGCCGTTCTCGACCAGTGTCGGGCCTGGGTGACCAGGCATGGAAGCCTGATGACGGAGCCCGGGTTAAGGATGCTCCTGCAGGAGATCTGCCAGCTCTCAGATCAGGAGGTGAATTTGCTTCGTGAGGGCTTCGACGCCCAGGCTGACCGGCTGCAGCCGATGCCTCTGGTGCCCTTTGTTCAGTGGCTCTTCCAGGCCCTGACTCCTAGGGCTCCTCCGACTCCTCCGGCTCCCACTCCGCCTCCTGCCCGGGCTCCTGAGGAGTCAGGGGTCCCCCTGCGCGAGTTCCGGCGCCTCGTGGCCGAGAACCCCTGGCTGGCCACAAAACGCTGGAACGCGCACGCCGGGCGCGCGGAGCGGCCCAACATGCACGACGTGGTCGCGGAGATCATCAAGCCGAGGACTGAGGCGAAGCTCATCGCCTACGCCGAGCTCCTGGAGCCCCTAAAGCCCCAGGTCTTCGTGAGCCACTGGTGGGGAGAGGAGTTTCTCAGCTTCGTGCGCGCCCTGCGGCTCTTTGCCCGCGTCTACGCCTTTGAAGCTTTAAAGAATCTGCCTGAGGAGGATTATGTGGAAGTGTTGGACAACATCGTCTTTTGGGTCTGCTCCTTTGCCAATCGACAGTGGGAGGTGAACTTGGGAAGCACGCTGCAAGAGAGCCCCTTCGAGCGTGCGCTCGCAGCACCGACTTGCACGCATGTGGTGATGGTTATGGACCCAGATGCTACCCCGTTGCGTCGCATCTGGTGTCTCTGGCTGCAGGCAGTCTGGTTGGGAAGGGTGACCTGCTGTAATGAGGGGTGTCGGTAAACGATGGGTTTGCAGGTTAGCAAAGCGCGGAATTACCTTCGTTACTTCACGGCATCTTGCTTCAGCTTGTTCCTAGCTAGGAGCCTCTTTTTTCTCCAGTCTTTCGGTGCATCATGCACAGAATGTAGCATCTTCACGGTCCTTATTGTCCTTTTAACGTTTGTAGTTTATGTATGCAACGAACTGGCCGAGAACCATGCTATTCGAAGCCTAAGGTGTCTCTACGAGGTGCTTCGCACGCACGCGCTGAAGAAGACCTTCCACATCGCCACGGACAGCGGCGTCCTCACCTTCGGCGACGATGAGCCGAAGGGGCAGCAGCGGGAAGATCTCCTGAGCCTGACACTTCGGGATACTTGGGAAAATTTTTTTCAATTCTGGGGTACTACAGGTGATTCTTCTTAATTCAATCTGGGGTACTAGAATTCCTAAGAAGCAGCTAACATTATGATTTTTTTGTTCGGGTTCCAAGTTCAGCATAGGACAAAGAGAGTGCTGGAGATCGATGCCTCCACGGCGCAGGCAAGTAAGGAGCCTGACCGACGCATGATCATGAACGAGGTGGACAAGGCGGAAGGGCCAAGGTCTTTTAGGGTTTAGGGTTTAGGGTTTAGGGTTTAGGGTTTAGGGTTTAGGGTTTAGGGTTGTTCATGATGGAAAAGCTGCGATGCGCGTCTCCCCTGAGAGGCTGTTGGCTTGGAGCAGTTCGGACTGCACGTGGCGTCGCTACTGATGCTGGCCTTCAGGCGCCAGGGGGGGCCCTGAAGCACATGATGACCCCCTGGTTCTTAGCAGGGAACTGAAGGAATGAGGGAATGAGCACCCTATAATAGACCCTTTAAGGGATGATCTAGGGCCCTCATCCCCCCATTCCCTACCAAGAACTGAACCAGGGAGATGATTGGTATGCTTGGGGAGGCTTTTCTTTCATCAGTTGGTTCAGGGTTCAGGGTTTAGGGTTTAGGGTTTAGGGTTTAGGGTTTAGGGGTCGTTTGCAGTCGGGACCGACCTGATCTAGAAAGATACATCGAGCTCGCAGTGTGAGGGACTTGCAGCCCTAAACCCTAAACCCTAAACCCTAAACCCTAAACCCTGAATCCTGAACCCTGAACCCTAAACCCTGAACCCTAAACCCTAGACCCTAAACCCTAAACCCTAAACCCTAAACCTGGCAGTTGCACTTCTGACAAGGATGCGGGGTGGAGAGCAACTGGCCATGGAAGCTCCCGAACCTCGACTCTTCTTCGGTGTGCTTTAAATCTTACACCCCAAAACCCTAAAACCCCAAAACCCAAAAACCCAAAAACCCAAAAACCCTAAAACCCTAAAACCCCAAAACCCAAAAACCCAAAACCCTAAAATCCTAAAGCCCTAAAACCCTAAAACCCTAAAACCCCAAAACCCGAAAAAACCCTAAGTCTTGCGCGTTAAGACCCTAAACTAGAGGGGTTTCGGACCCCGGCTACTTTGCTGGAATGTGGGAGTTTCTCGAAAATCCTAAATCTTACACCCTACAACCCTCAAACAAAGGGGTTTCGGGCTCCGGCTACTTTGGGTGGAATATGGGAGTTTCTCTCAGAACCTCCGCAAGCTCTTCAGCGGGCTCCGCGTGAGCCAAAGAGCACCAAAGGAGGCAACTCGCGGTGGCACCTAAGTGAGGGTTTAGGGTTTAGGGTTTAGGGTTTAGGGTTTAGGGTTTAGGGTTTAGGGTTTAGGGAGGGCATCCCGCCTGACAAAGGTAGACCCGCCCCAGACCCCTGGGAGGATGCGCGAAGCAAACCAATGAAGTGTCCAGAAGACAGATCTACAGTAAGCCTGAAGACGACAGAAGTTGGAAAAGCAAGGGGAAACATTCGTCCGAATTAAGGCGACCATAGTCCTCTACCCGCAATGTGGATTTCAGGAAGATGCGTCGTGAAGATTTCCCACACCTCAGTCAGACTGGCCTAGATAGAAACCCTGGCGGGCAAAGGCCTCGGCCCCTAACAAGGGGCACGTAGGTTTTTGGCCGGTTAGGATTCGGGTTCGAGGGTCAAGCCCTAAACCCTGAACCCTAAACCCTAAACCCTAAACCCTAAACCCTAAACCCTCAACCCTAAACCCTCAACCCTTATTGGGGTGTACGGCTTTGGTGGGTCTTGAGGGCTTTGGGGTTTCAGGGCGCTGGGTGTTCGTAGCCTGCGTATGTTCTTCAACGTGACGACTGCTCCTGGGTCCCCTGTTTTGTGGGAGATGTTAAGTAGGCTCACTAGGTCAAAAGGGCTTTCAAGTAACCCTCAACCCTAAAACTCAAACCCTAAACCTTAAACTCTAAACCCTAAGCCCTAAACCTTAAGCCCTAAACCCTAAACAAACCAACTTCAAAAGACCGAGGAGCTGAAGCACCGGTTTTTTGACCTGCATCGCCTGCGCGACATCCTTGTTGCCTGGGGTGCACAGAAGTATGCTTTGTAAGCCCCTTAAGTGCCCTAATATGGTTGTAAGTACAGTTGTCATTGGTTCATAAGTACCATGACCCTCCAAGTGGGTATTTCCCCAAATAGGGGTAGCCCTTTGAAGCCCCCTAATATGTGGAATAGAATCCCCTTCAAGGGGCCCGCGAAAGGGTACCACTATTTTCGGAAAGCCCCGTATCAGTAGAAGTCCAAACGTGTTTCTGTGTGAAGGTATGTCTGCAGGGTTCTTTTGCCAGAATAGGGCTTGCTCCGAAAATATGTCCACAGAATACTCGAATCCTTATTCTGGGAACGCGCGACCAGGGCACCCGTAGTTGGAGAGCCCTCCCCTCATGGGGTCCGTATGTATGTATGTTTCTTTCGTGGATAACCCTAAACCCTGAAGCCCTGAACCGCAATCCCCGAACCCTAAACCCTAGACTCCAAACCCCGAACCCTAAACCCAAGCCCCAAACCCCAAACCTCGAACCCTAAACCCTAAACCCTAAGCCCTAAACCCTAAACCCCAAACCCTAAACCCTAAACCCTAAACCCTAAACCCTAAGTCTGTCGACATCAGGTCACCTTCGAGGGCAGGACTCCGCTGCACAGCGCAGCTCAAAGGAAGGGGCCCGATGAGGTGCCTTTCATCAGGGGTACGTGCACCGGATATCTTGAAGAGCTTTAGGGTTTAGGGTTTAGGGTTCAGGGTTCAGGGTTTAGGGTTTAGGGTTTAGGGTTCAGGGTTCAGGGTTTATTGTTTAGCGTTTAGGGTAGGTTAGTTATAACCCACACCCCTGGGAGGATCCAAAAGTAGAGATTTTTCGGAACCCTGAAGGGGATCTAGCTGTTGGATCCTCCAAGGGGTCTGGGTCATAACGGAACCTTGAACCCTAAACCCTAAACCCCAAACCCTAAGCCCTAAACCCTAAACCCTAAACCCTGAACCCTAAACCCTGAACCCTAAACCCTGAACCCTCAACCCTCAACCCTAAACCCCAAACCCTAAACCCCAAACCTAGCCGACTTTAGGGTTGAGGGTTTAGGGTCTGCCCAACAGGTTCGACTGGCTTTGGCGGATGCCGACCCTGAGGCGTCGAGAATACTCCGGCAAGCACGTAACATGCAGGTTTAGAATGCGCAATAGAAATAGTAGGAATCTACAGATAGATGGATCTGTATATATATATATATACACAACATGTTTTTCCCGCAGCGCTCGTGGGGGGGCCTCCTTTGAGAGGAGTTGAAGAGCTGCAACTCCCTCGGCCAGACGCCCCTGCACATGGCGGCCGCGTACAACGCGCAACTTGGCTGTCAATGTGGCCTGCTAGGGTTTAGGGTTTAGGGTTTAGGGTTTAGGGTTTAGGGTTTAGGGTTTAGGGTTTCAGGTTTAGGGTTTAGGATTTAGGATTTCAGGTCTGCTTGGTCGCATTGCTCGGCCCAGACTGAACCCTATGGTCTATCTGCAGGGACTGCTGGAGGCATTTGCCATGTGGGGGTTGCCGCAAATAGGGGTACCCTTTTTGGGGTCCCTTAAGCGGATTCTATCCTATTTTGGGATATACAAGGGGGTGGTAAATATCCATGTAGTTGTGTTGAATCTCCCATTGCAAGTGCTCCTCCATCCGTCCTATGTTTCCTTAGGAGAGGCTTGGGTTTACTTCGGCTCATGCGCTGGGCCTCGCGTGACATGGCAGGCACAAGGAATCTCTGGACCTGCTTGTCGGCGCGAACATGGACATTAATGTCCCTTGATCTGCAAGTTGGTCTGTTTGGGGCACCTGTGTTTGAGGTCTGCAGGTGAACTAAGCCCAGCTGGATTGCTAAAACGACCTAGCAGGCGGCACAATCTGATGTGACGAATGAGAGAGTTGATGTGTGTCAGAGAACGCAGCCGAGGGGCGTGACAGAAACGGTCTGACGCCGTGGATGCTCTCGGCCGTCACAGGTAGGGAGCTTGCGGTTGCCGTGTAGAGACGCCTTAAACCAAAGACTGATGCTGTTAAACCCTTTTGCCGCTCTTGCCGCGCCCGTGCACTTGCGCCTTGCCGCACTTTCTAGACCGTCTGCCCATGGCAGGTCACCATGATGCTCTTGCCCACTTGCTTGCGACGGGCGGGAGCCTTGCCTGTGATCTAGACCTCTTCGAGCAGCAGTATCTACCATGGACTTCGCGAGTGTTACCAAACGCACTGCTGCTGTCGGCATTCAGCGGCAGCGTGAAGTGCTGCCGCGTCTTGCTTGACCAGCCTGGGCAGAAGGTGCACTTGGTCATGGTAACTGCGGCAAGTTGTTTCGGGCATCGCGAGGTACTGGAGGCCTTGCTACCCCATGTGGCAGATGTGAATGCCAGCTTCAGTGGCCCCCTTGCAAGCCCTCTTCTCCAAGCAAGCTTCTGCGGACACCTGGACTGTGTGGAGCTTTTGCTGAAGCACCGGGCTTTGCCAAACGCTACCGCAGACGGTGGGAAAACCGCTTTCTTCTGCTCCATGACTACGGGCCATGAAGACATCGGCCGTCTGCTTCTTTCTCATCGGGCGGACCCTTGGATCACAACAGACGAAGACGAGCACCCTCTACGCACAGCCAGCGGCGGAGGGCATGACGGCTGCGTGCGCATGCTCTTGTCCTTACGGGCTGACCTGCACGGAAGACATGGTGAATCCAGATCCACCCCTCTCCATGTTGCGGCAGAGTGGGGTCGCGAGCCAACTGTCAGACTTCTTGTGAAGAACCTCGCGGATGTGAACGCCAAGGACATGAAAGACAGAACTCCCTTGCACAGGGCAGCTGAGTACGGCTACACAGATGTCCTGGCAGTCTTGCTTGAACTGCGAGCAGACGCCAGACACATGGACTGTGAAGGCATGACACCGCTGGAAGTGGCCAAGCATGAGAAGATGGAAGAGGCAGCGGCGCTACTCAGGGTTCTGACGACGGGTTCCTACTTGAATGATCTGAATCTAAGCCAGGTCCCCTCCGAATAGAGGGATCTGGATCCGACCTAACACCCTCAACCCTAAACCCTAAACCCTCAACCCTAAACCCTAAACCCCTAACCCCTAAACCTTAAACCCTAAACCCTAAACCCTAAACAGCCAGAAACCGGGGGCGGCATGAAGGCGCCATCTCTCCGAAGGAGACACGCGCCTTGTCGTTGGACTTCCGGCCGCGAGGCAGACACGTCAGGCCCGAAGGGCTCGCGTTCTGTACATGGTCACTTCTCTGGAAGATGGTCCCTTACTCTCTTATTCGGGTAAAGGGTTTAGGGGTTTAGGGTTTAGGGTTTAGGGTTTAGGGTTTAGGGTTTAGGGTTTAGGGTTTAGGGTTTAGGGTTTGGGGTTTAGGGTTTAGGGTTCTGTGGTCCCTTTTGGGGTTACTATTCTTCGGGTTTGGGCTTAGGGTTTAACATCTATATTGGGCCACTTCTCTAAGATAGGTCCCGTTTGGGGTCCCCTATCCTCACGGGTATTCGAAAAGGGACCATTGGCTTAGAGAACGGACCAAATTCCGTGCTGCAAGTAAAAACTTGGTGGCTGGAAAAGCACGCTTCAAAGGCGGATTCTCCGAGAGCACCTGTCTCTTCCTCACCCTCTTTCTCTTTCGTATTCTGTCGGCCTGTGCATCAGCCTCCGCTTTGTCGCAATTCGAGCGCGGTGCTCAAAGGGGCAAGACTTTCACGCATCTTTCTGCAGCTTTGTGGCTCACCATGACTCGCCCCGGCATGCGGCAGAGGAGGCTTGCCGGTCAGGGATTGTGGTGAAGAAATTTGGTCTTTGTGTTGCAGTTATCTGGTTTTATGTTGCCGTTTCTGGTGTCTTTTGGGTATGCTAGACTTTATGTGGGTTCAGGGCGAGGGTGCAGCAAAGCCCCCATGATTGAATCCTTTTTTTGTTCCCATTCTATTGAATGCTCGCCCCAGACCTATTACCCAACATACCACAAAGCCATAGATGGGTTGGGATTGGGGGATCCGGGGTTTAGGGGTTTTAGGGGTTGGGGATTCGGGGGATTTCGAAATTTGGGTTTGGCACGTGCGCTCCGCACTCCACGGACCCGTCCGAACTTGACTTTGCCAGAAAACCTCGAAACTTCCATCCGGCTCGCGAATGTAGTACGTGGTCTTGAGGCCCCTGAACCCTAAACCTTCAGGAGCGGCACAACGTACAGGTCAGACTGATTGACTATATCGATAGTGGCAATGTTTTATTCCACAGATGAGTCACATATGGCGCATATGAGGAACATGTGGTTGCAGCCCTAAACCCTCAACCCCAAACCCTAAACCCTAAACCGAAAACTAACCTGAAAGTCTGCCAGTCGGAGGTCGCCAGGACTCCTGGTCCTGGCCCTGGCCCTCGGCCTCTTCTCCCTCCATGCGGCCTTCGTGGGCGTCCGCCCGAACACAGGCGGGGGTTTAGGGTTTAGGGTCAGGGTTCAAGAGCTCCTGGTCGAGCAGTTTCTCGTTTAGGTTCGCTGTTTAGACCATCGAAAAGTACCCACCCACCCACCCGGAGTTCCCACAACATTAAGAAATGAAAAGTTTCTTCTTATTATTTGGATGGCTCAACAACAAAACTGATAGGGTTCGCAAAGGGTTTAGGGTCTCAAGGGTTTAGGGTCTCAAGGGTTTAGGGTTTCAATGGTTTAGGGACTCAAGGTTTTAGGGTCTCAAGGGTCTAGGGGCTCAAGGGTTTAGGGTCTCAAGGGTTTAAGGCTCAAGGGTTTAGGGGCTCAAGGCCGGGCCTTGCCCACGAATTTTTGGGCCTTGCCCACGAATATTTGGGCCTTGCCCACGAATATTTGGGCCTTGCCCACGAATCTTTGGGCCTTGCCCACGAATACCATTAAGGTTTATAATTATATGGTAGGAGAGGTTTAGGGTTCAGGGTTCAGGGTTTAGAGTTTAGGGTTTAGGGTTTAGGGTTTAGGGTTTAGGGTGTAGGGTTGCTGGCCGAGCCGTAAAAGAGCCCTGAGCCTCAAGCCTTCACGCGCAACCCTGACACGCAAAGACTCCGAAGCCCTTGGCGCCGGATTGAGGACTTCGGGACCCTAAACCCTAAACCTTCAACCCTAAGCCTTAAATTGAAGCCCTAAACCCTAAGCCTTAAGTCCTAACCTTAAACCCTAAACCCTAGACCTTAAACCCTAAATTGAAACCCTAAACCCTAAATTGAAACCCTACACCCTTGGCACTGGATTGAGGACTCAGGCGATCTTCTGTATTTCGGGAAGTTGTGTTCAGCTGCCACCATGAGGCTTACAAAGCTAACCCTCAAGCCTAAACCATACCCCTTAAACCCTCAACTTCACCCCTTAAACCCTTAAATCCATACATCCCCCCCCGAACTTAACCCTGAATCCCTCAAAACCTTAAACCCTAAATCCCTCAACCCCGAAACCCATGAACCCTAAACCCTAAACCCTAAACCCTAAGCCCTCAAGCCCTGCGTGCAACGAACCTTCCCTCCTCGCCGCCCCTGAAGCATCATGACAGGTGCGCTGCGCGAGCGCCATGTGCGCGGGAGCCCCGTGCGTTGAAGGGTTAGGGTTTCTAGGAATTGTATTTCGGGGGGTTAGGGGGGTTTTGTCGGGTTTTGTCGGGATTTGTCAGGTTTTGTCGGGTTCTGTTTTTTTGCTTTTCCTGAAATAGAAATTGTTTAGGGTTTGTGTCCGGAGTTTTGTCGGGTTTTGGGGGGTTTGGGGGGTTTTGGGGGGTTTTGTCGGGTTTTGTTGGGTTTTGGGGGGTTAGTTTTGCTTTTCCTGAAATAGAAATTGTATAGGGTTTGTGTCCGGAGTTTTGTCGGGTTTTGGGGGGTTTTGGGGGGTTTTGTCGGGTTTTGTCGGGTTTTGTCGGGTTTTGTCGGGTTTTGTCGGGTTTTGTCAGGTTCTGTCGGGTTCTGTTTTTTGCTTTTCCTGAAATGGAAAGGGTTTGTGTCCGGAGTTTTGTCGGGTTTGGGGGGTTTGGGGTGGTTTTGTCGGGTTTTGGGGGGTTCTGTTTTCTGCTTTTCCTGAAATAGAAATTGTATAGGGTTTGTGTCCGGAGTTTTGTCGTGTTTTGGCGGGTTTTGTCGAGTTTTGTCGGGTTTTGGGGGGGTTCTGTTTTTTGCTGTTGCTGAAAGTTGGGGAAGTTTTGTCAGGGGGGGGGGGGGGGTGGGGGGGTTGGGGCGCCGGCAGCATCTTTCGGGGATTTCTTTCCAGTGTCTTTCTTGGTGTCCTGAGAGCCATTCTTTTGTTTGATTTTTCGCATTGTGCAGGATGAAGGATTACTGCATGAGCTGCTCGCAATGAAACGCGTACAATTTCTATTTATCCGGCCTTGAGGGTCTAAGGGTTTAGGGTTTTGGGTTCAGGGTTTAGGGTTTAGGGTTCAGTTAGGGTTTAGGAGTTTAGGGTTTAGGGTTTAGTTAGGGTTTCGGGTGTAGGGTTTAGGGTTTAGGGTTTACGGTTTAGGGTTCAGGGGTTTTAGGACTTAGGGTTTTAGGGTTTAGGGTTTAGGGTTTAGGGTTTAGGGGTGGTCCGAGACCCCTAAAACCTTCAAACCGTTTGGGGGTTTGCGGTTTGGGGTTTAGGGTTTGGGTTTTGCGGGGGTGGCTTAACGTGCTTTGGCCTGACGGGTTAACCCCCTAAATCTCAACTCCCCGGAACCCACACCCCCAGCACGAAATCCGGAAAGCCTCCAAACTCTTTAGGACCCTTTAAGCCCTATGCATTAATTATAAATTAATGATTAACAAAAGTAATATTAATAACTAATTAATAACTAATTAATAACTAATTAATAACTAATTAATAACTAATTAATAACTAATTAATAACTAATTAATAACTAATTAATAACTAATTAATAACTAATTAATAACTAATTAATACCTAATTAATAACTAATTAATAACTAATTAATAACTAATTAATAACTAATTAATAACTAATTAACAATTAATTAATAACAAGTTAATGACTAATTAATAAGTAATTAATACCTAATTAATAACTAATTACTAACTAATAGATTAAGCCCTTAAGCCCCGAGCTTCACCTTGTGAGGTTTAGGGAACCATTCAAGCCTGTAGGGCTTAGGGCTAAGGGTTTTAGGGGCTAAGGGTTTTAGGGGCTGAACATGATCGAACCCTAAACCCTAAACCCTAAACCCTCCTACCCTAAACCCTAAACCCTAAACCCTAAACCCTAAACCCTAAACCCTAAACCCTAAACCCTAAACCCCCTAACCCCCTAACCCCCTAACCCCCTAACCCCCTAACCCCCTAACCCCCTAACCCCCTAACCCCCTAACCCCCTAACCGAAGAACCTAAAGCCTCTTAAGCCCTAAGTTTCGCAGGGCCTTGGGCTCAACTCACTTAGGGCCAACACCGCCCTAAACCCTAAACCCTAAACCCTGAAGGCGTTGTGGAACCCTGACTCCTAAGGCATAAGCCCCCCAAAGCCGACGGTTCCGAACAGTAAACCCTCATCAATACCCTAAACCCTACATCCCCAAACCACTGAGATCCTAGAAACCCGTTTAGGGTTTAGGGTTTAGGGTTTAGGGTTTAGGGTTTAGGGTTTAGGGTTTAGGGTTTAGAACACTCAGCCCTAGACCCCTACTTGGAGGTTCATGGTACCAATTCACCAATTCAGGCCCTGAAGTGCCCCAGTATGGTTATAAGTACAGTTATAGTTGGTTAAACCCTACTAAACCCTAAACCCTAAACCCTAAACCCTAAACCCTAAACCCTAAACCCTAAACCCTAAACCCTAAACCCTAAACCCTAAACCCTAAAAGTCGTGGCCATCTTAAAACCAGGCCGGGCCTCCTCCGACGAGGAAGAGGACGACAGCCTGGCGGAGTTCTACATCCAGGCCTCAAGGGCTTGGGGTTTTAGGGTTTAGGGTTTAGGGTTTAGGGCTTAGGGCTTAGGGTTTAGGGTTTAGGATGAAGGGTTTAGGGCAAAAGGATTTGACAAGGGTACCGCTGCTGGGGTCGAAGTGGTTTTCCAGAGTGCACGGTCTTGACTGGAGGTTTAGGCTAAGATGGCCTCAACCCTCAACCCTCAACCCTCAACCCTCAACCCTCAACCTTCAACCCTCAACCCTCAACCCTCAACCCTCAACCCTCAACCCTCAACCCTCAACCCTCAACCCTAAGCCCTAAACCCTCAACCCTCAACCCTCAACCCTGAACCCCAAACCGCATCGCTGTTTTGGGCTTCGGGGGTGGGAGGGTTGAAGGTTGCGAGGTTTTGGGCCAAGGTTTCCGCTCAACCTGGGACTTCAGTCCTGAGGGTTTAGGGCCTAGCCACATCTTATTGCCACACCCTAAAGCCTAAACCCGAAACAATGCACCCTGACCCGAAACCATGACTATGGTAGGGGTCCTGTTGTGCTAGGCTCGGAACTACCAAAAACCCCCCTGTCTCCTTTAATCTCCTTCTTGTTTGCTCCCAAATCCACCGTTCTTAGTAGGGAATCCTTGCTGAGGCTAGTAAACCTCACAACGTCCCCGAGCCCATACGAGGGGGGGGGGGGGGGGGGGGGTTGGATCCTAAGCCCTAAAGCCCTAAACCCTCCTTGCGTTTAGGGGCTTAGGGTGTTAGGGTTTAGGGTGTTAGGGTTTAGGGTGTTAGGGTAGGGTGATAGGGTTTATTCAGGGATGACCGGAGGGATCCTCATAAGGGAGGTTATTTGGGGGTTAATTATTGAGGGGCTGCTTAGGCATATACGGTCGTTCTAGGGGATGCATGGGGGTTAGGTAGGGGAACATAAGATTAAGGGTGCCTTCTAAGGGGTCCTTCCTTATACCCCTTAAGTTGAGGGGTGGTAGGGTATAGGGTTTAGGGTTTAGGGTTTAGGGTTTAGGGTTTAGGGTTTAGGGTTTAGGGTTTAGGGTTTAGGGCCGCAGGACGTGTCGCCAGTGGGGCGGCAAGTGGTGAAGGCCAGCTGTTGGCATGGGGGGTAGTTTCTTGGTGATTTTTTCCAACGTTTAGAGGGTTTGTCAGGGTTTCAGGGTTTCAGGGGTTTCGGGGTTTTCAGGGTTTTCAGGGTTTTCAGGGTTCAGAGGGGGTTTAGAAGGTTGGAGGGTTTGGAGGGTTTAGAGGGTTTTTAGGGTTTAGAGGGTGTAGAGGGTTACAGGGTTGAGAGGGTTTGCGGAGGAGGGTTGGGATGCTTGCCTGTCGACATCAATGTCGAATCATTAGGGTTTGGGTTTTGGACAGACGGAGGTCGCATCCTATTCTACTGTTTGGCATGCACTGAGGCCTGGTGACCTTAGAGAACCTTCTGTGCTCAGCATCGGCTAGGGACCCACACTTTGCTCACCGCCTCGTCTGTGCTGAAGCGTGGCTTCGCTGCCTCACCTGTGCTGAAGCGTGGGCGTCATGATGCTGCTGATGTTGGGGCTTCGCCGCCTCACCTGCTCGTCTGTGCTGAAGCGTGGGCGCCATGATGCTGCTGATGTTGGGGCTTCGCCGCCTCACCTGCTCGTCTGTGCTGAAGCGTGGGCGCCATGATGCTGCTGATGTTGGGGCTTCGCCATCTGTGCTGAAGCGTGCGCGCCATGATGCTGCTGATGTTGGGGCTTCGCCGCCTCACCTGCTCGTCTGTGCTGAAGCGTGGGCGCCATGATGCTGCTGATGTTGGGGCTTCGCCGCCTCACCTGCTCGTCTGTGCTGAAGCGTGGGCGCCATGATGCTGCTGATGTTGGGGCTTCGCCATCGTGCTGAAGCGTGGGCGCCATGATGCTGCTGATGTTGGGGCTTCGCCGCCTCACCTGCTCGTCTGAAAGCGTGGGCGCCATGATGCTGCTGATGTTGGGGCTTCGCCGCCTCACCTGCTCGTCTGTGCTGAAGCGTGGGCGCCATGATGCTGCTGATGTTGGGGCTTCGCCGCCTCACCTGCTCGTCTGTGCTGAAGCGTGGGCGCCATGATGCTGCTGATGTTGGGGCTTCGCCGCCTCACCTGCTCGTCTGTGCTGAAGCGTGGGCGCCATGATGCTGCTGATGTTGGGGCTTCGCCGCTTCACCTCGTCTGTGCTGAAGCGTGGGCGCCATGATGCTGCTGATGTTGGGGCTTCGCCGCCTCACCTGCTCGTCTGTGCTGAAGCGTGGGCGCCATGATGCTGCTGATGTTGGGGCTTCGCCGCCTCACCTGCTCGTCTGTGCTGAAGCGTGGGCGCCATGATGCTGCTGATGTTGGGGCTTCGCCATCTGTGCTGAAGCGTGGCGCCATGATGCTGCTGATGTTGGGGCTTCGCCGCCTCACCTGCTCGTCTGTGCTGAAGCGTGGGCGCCATGATGCTGCTGATGTTGGGGCTTCGCCGCCTCACCTGCTCGTCTGTGCTGAAGCGTGGGCGCCATGATGCTGCTGATGTTGGGGCTTCGCCGCTTCACCTCGTCTGTGCTGAAGCGTGGGCGCCATGATGCTGCTGATGTTGGGGCTTCGCCGCCTCACCTGCTCGTCTGTGCTGAAGCGTGGGCGCCATGATGCTGCTGATGTTGGGGCTTTGCCACCTCACCTGCTCGTCTGTGCTGAAGCATGGGCCCATGATGCTGCTGATGTTGGGGTCACCTGCTCGTCTGTGCTGAAGCGTGGGCGCCATGATGCTGCTGATGTTGGGGCTTCGCCGCCTCACCTGCTCGTCTGTGCTGAAGCGTGGGCGCCATGATGCTGCTGATGTTGGGGCTTTGCCGCCTCAGGTGCTCGTCTGTGCTGAAGCGTGGGCGTCATGATGCTGCTGATGTTGGGGCTTCGCCGCCTCACCTGCTCGTCTGTGCTGAAGCGTGGGCGTCATGATGCCGCTGATGTTGGGGCTTCGCCGCCTCACCTGCTCGTCTGTGCTGAAGCGTGGGCGCCATGATGCTGCTGATGTTGGGGCTTCGCCGCCTCACCTGCTCGTCTGTGCTGAAGCGTGGGCGCCATGATGCTGCTGATGTTGGGGCTTCGCCGCCTCACCTGCCGTCTGTGCTGAAGCGTGGGCGCCATGATGCTGCTGATGTTGGGGCTTCGCCGCCTCACCTGCTCGCCTGGTGCCGCCTCACCTGCTCGTCTGTGCTGAAGCGTGGGCGTCATGATGCCGCTGATGTTGGGGCTTCGCCGCCTCACCTGCTCATCTGTGCTGAAGCGTGGGCGTCATGATGCTGCTGTTGTTGGGGCTTCGCTGCCTCACCTGCTCGTCTTTGCTGAAGCGCGGGCGCCATGATGCTGCTGATGTTGGGGCTTCGCTGCCTCACCTGCTCATATGTGCTGAACCGTGGGCATCATGATGCTGCTGATGTTGGGGCTTCGCTGCCTCACCTGCTCGTACCTGCTCGTCTGTGCTGAAGCGTGGGCGTCATGATGCTGCTGATGTTGGGGCTTCACTGCCTCACCTGCTCGTCTGTACTGAAGCATGGGCATCATGATGCTGGCGTATGGGTTCAACATTCACGTCTTGCCTAGGTGTCGTGCTTTTACAAGAAGCCCTACCTCGCACAGGTATGATTATACCCAGCAGACATCCACAACTGGTCCCAAACAGCTGAGACAGCCAAGACAGATCCCAAATCTGCTGGCCCCAGCCCTAATTAAACCCTAAACCCTAAACCCCAAAATCCTAAACCCTAAACACCAAAATCCTAAACCCTAAACCCTAACCCCCCCTAAACCCTCGACCCAGCAAGGTGTACCGTTACCTGAAGTCGATAAAGGGCGAGCAGGAGGAGGAGATCACCAAGGCTCGCAGGGTGTAGGGTTTAGGGTCTAGGGTTTAGGATTTCGGGTTTAGGGCTATTTGAGGTTGCAAGGTTCAAGGTGTGTAGAGGTTTGGATTTCGGATTGGCTGAAGGAAGCCATCTTTCGCTGAGCCCCAACGCTCCGGAAGTTCTTGACGACCCTGGAGGTTAAGGGCTTATACCCTAAACCCCAAACCCTAAACCCTGAACCTTAAACCCTAAACCAAGGCCCGCAAACCTGGGTTCAAGGGTTGAGGGGCTTACAGCGTTTAAGGCGTTCGGGGGGCTTAGGGTAGGCTGGGGCTGGGAAAGACCTACGTAGGTAGGAGTCTAGTGTTTTGGCGGGCAAGGTCAGGGGTCCGGATGGAGGCTGAATGAGTCACTGGAAGCCCTAAAGGGCACCCTAAACGCCCTGAACCCACTGAAGCCCGAAAAGCCCCAAAAGGCCCTAGGCGCCCGTGAACCCAATGATGTACACGGACCACAAGGGTGTCTTGCAGTCGGATCATGCAGCATCTGGCACGTTCGAGGCAGTAGTTGAGGCCACTGGGTACTATTGTAGGGACATAGCCCCGAGCCCTGAACCCTAAACCGTGAGCCATGTGAACCTAAAAGCCCCCTACATCCTACACAGCCTATAAGCCCATTAGCCATATGTAGACACTGTAAACCCTAAACCCTAAACCCTAAACCCTAAACCCTGAACCCTAAACCCTAAACCCTAAACCCTAAACCCTAAACCCTCTCTATCCTTATAGATTAGATTTAGCTTTTTGGTGCTTTTCCCCCGTTGTTGAGCACTTTTTGGTGCAATCGGCAGCGTTCTTGAGCCATTTTTGGTGCGTCGGCACCGTTCTTGAGCCATTTTTGGTGCGTCGGCACCGTTCTTGAGCACTTTTTGGTGCATTCGGCGCCGTTCTTGAGCCATTTTTGGTGCGTCGGCACCGTTCTTGAGCCATTTTTGGTGCGTCGGCACCGTTCTTGAGCACTTCTTGGTGTGTCGGCACCGTTCTTGAGCCATTTTTGGTGCGTCAGCACCGTTCTTGAGCCATTTTTGGTGCCGACGTCGTCGTCGGCACCGTTCTTGAGCCATTTCTGGTGCGTTGGCGCCGTTCATTTTTGGTGCGTCGGCACCGTTCTTGAGCCATTTTTGGTGCGTCGGCACCGTTCTTGAGCTATTTTTGGTGCATCTGCACCGTTCTTGAGCCATTTTTGGTGCATCGGCACCGTTGTTGCGTGAACTCTATATTTCTTAATGTTATCGGATTCTTTGGGTGGGTGGGTTTGCTCCTAAGCCTGGAACCCCCTAATGACTAGTGAATGCTAGAACAGTGACCCTCTAGACCCTAAACCCGAAACCCTGAACCCGAAACCCTATACCCTAAACCCTACATGTAGATCCAAGAGTTAAATCCTCCATTCGTGCCTGACATGTCAGGTCATGGATGCGCTGGACCCGGAGCAGAAGGCCTAAACCCCCCAAACCCCCCAAACTCTAACGAACCCGGTTCAGGGTTTAGGGTTTAGGGTAGAAGCCTTAAAGCCCAAAGCCCCAACCCCTAAACCCTCTAAGCCCTAAGGCCGGGTTACTAATGGGTTTATCGGGTTTGTAGGGCTTTTTGGCTCAAACGTTGCACTAGGCTTTTTTGGGGTTTGCAGGATTTGCAGAGTAAACTGGGTCCAGGGCTTAGGGTTTGTGCTGTGGGGTAGGGGTAGGGTGCAGGGCTGAAAGGGCTTCAGTGGGTTGAGATGATTTCTCGGCACTAGAAGGTTCGGGGTTATGCGTTCCTCTCAAGCCCTTAGCCCGCTTATGCTTAAAAATTTAAGCACTGAACCCTAAACCCTAAACCCTAAACCCTCAACCCTCAACCCTCAACCCTCAACCCTCAACCCTCAACCCTCAACCCTCAACCCTCAACCCTCAACCCTAAACCCTAAAAGGCCTAGGCCGTCCCCCAACAGTGGGTGGGCGGCTCTTGAGCCCTTCGACCTCACCCAGAGCGAGCCCCCTTGAAAAAAGGTGAACCCCAAGGGCCGCAAGGCAGGTCCCGGACCCTTCGCCGCAGCGTGGTTAGGGTTTAGGGTTTAGGGCTTAGGGCTTAGGGTTTAGGGTTTAGGGTTTAGGGTTTAGGGGTGGGAGAAAGGTGTTAGAGGGCCAGAGCAGCTCTTCGCACCTGACGAAGCTTTCGAGCCTGTTCTGCATCCGCGCTACACAACCCTACACCCTAAACCCTAAACCCTGAACCCTGAACCCTAAACCCTAAACCCTAAACCCTAAACCCTACAGACCCTAAACCCTAAACCCTAACCCCCAAACCCCAAACCCCACCCGCTTCGATTCGGCCCAGAAAATGCTCAACAGCGTCCTCGTGGCGAGGCAGAGTGTGGCGCCCGGCATATCCATGGCCTAGGCTTAGGGTTTAGGGTTTAGGGTTTAGGGTTTAGGGTTTAGGGTATAGGCTGTATAGGATTTAGGATTTAGGGTTAGTTTCCTTTTTTAAAGGGTTTTGTAGGACGTTAGGACACTGTTCGGGCTCTGGGGCTGTAGGGTTTCAGGATATTCAAGGTTCAGAAGTTCTTCCGGGGTAGGGTTTTAAAGGCTCTGGGGCTTCAGGGCTTCGGGTTTTTGGATTCTCGGTTGGCCCCTTGGGCCTTTTTATGTAGGAGCCAACAATAACTGAAGAACAGAGCCGCAATCCTAACACCCCCTAAATGCCTAGATTGAGAACCTACAACAGCCCTCAAACCTTCAAGCCCTAAACACCCCAAAAACCGCTAAACCCCCCAAACCCCTAGAAGCCCCTAAGCCTTCCAAAACCCTAAAACCCCCCAAACACCCCTAGAAACCCTGAAAAATCCTTAAAACCCTGAAAACCCCAAAAAACCCCAAAAGCCCCCCAAGACTCTAACAGACCCTAAAACCCCCAAAAGCCCTAAAACCCCTAACCCCCTCCCCCCCAAAAACATACCCCTAAACCCTAAACCCTAAACCCAAACCCTAAACCCTGAACCCTGAACCCTGAAAACCCCAAAAAGCAACCTGCAAAACCCCCCAAGTCGCGCCAAGATCCTGACCGGCCCATTGAGACCCCAGCGCCGGAGAACGGGGACTCACCGGAACGGCCGCGCAGCGTGCGGTTCAGGGGTTTAGGGTTTAGGGAGGGTTTGGGGTTTGGGGTTTGGGGTTTGGGGTTTGGGGTTTGGGGTTTGGGGTTTGGGGTTTGGGGTTTGGGGTTTAGGGTTTGGGGGCTAGGGTTTAGGGTTTGGGGTTTGGGGTTTAGGGTTTGGGGTTTGCCCCAAACCCTAAGGGCCCTAAGCCCCTCGAAACTCCAGTGACCTCAGGCCCAAGAAGCTGCGCACCCCAAGCCTCAAACCCCAAGGCTAACGCGCTCAACATGAACCCTTTTGGGGGAGCGCTGTTAGGGTTTAGGGTTTAGGGTTTAGGGTTTAGGGTTTAGGGTTTAGGGTTTAGGGTTTAGGGTTCAGGGTTTGGGGTTTGGGGTTTGGGGTTTGGGGTTTGGGGTTTGGGGTTGGCGATGTTATGCTAACCCCAATGTCTGGAACCCGATGGCCTGTACCTCGGCCTGGACCTCTCTGTCGCTTGAAGTCCTAGGCTGTACAAGAAGCTGCAGATGCTCAAGGACCGACCTTGCATTCGGCAAGATCTCCAAATTTCTGGACCCCCCCCAAGAAAAGAAATATTTTTTTGGGTCGGATTAATTACTGATACTATTTCCTTATGGTTCCTTTTTTACATATACTAGAATAGCCCCCACCCCCCAAAACCCTATTCTAGTGTATTTAGGCCCCTACAGAGGTTGTAGGCTACTTAGGGCCCTTTATGGGGGGGTTGAGAGTTTCGGGTTTGTTTCGAGTGCCCTGCGGTATCTCCTGTCATGGCCTCCTTTCTCGCCGAGGGGTAGTAGAGCGCCGTTGTTGCCAGTGACGGTGCATTGGGCATACTTGTCATTAAATCTAACAAGCTTACAGAGGGTGGGGAAACTAGCCCTTTAAACACCAAACCCTAAACCCCAAGCCCTAAACAGGGGTAGGTTTGAACAAAAAAATTGATGTTTGTTATCCTTAATCCCCTATGTAATTCGTATAACGCCATAAAGATTTTAATAGCACCCCCAAACCTATCCCGGTAAACCCTAAGCCCTACACCAGCAGTAGAAGTTTAGCAACAAAAGCGCCCCCGAAGGCACCCAAAAAGGTGCCGGGAGCCTGTTCAATCTCCATAAACGCAAAGCCTAAACCCTTACCCCGAACCCCAAACCCTGAACCCTAAACCCTAAACACCAGCCCCCTCAATCCTAAAGCAGCCTGTGAGAGCAGGACGACAATGAGGTGGTCAAGTGGCGCCTGGGCATTGACCCCCTGCTGCTTCAGCGCCTCGACGGCAGACTGGCTTTTCGGTTTAGGGGGCTTAGAAGGGGGGCTTCGGGCTTGGGGGGCTTACAGGGGCTTTTCCAAGGGGTTATACAGGAGCTTTTAAAGGGGCTTTTGCACGGGCTTAGGGGCTTACAGGGGGCTTCTAAGGCTTTTGGCTTGGGAGCGTCTCGCTTGGGAGCGCGTTGAGGCCTGGCTTTTTTTTCGCGTCTTCGTCTCAGGTGCTGTCGTAGCTACCTCAAGTATGGGTCAACCCTCAAAACCCACCTAAGCCCAAGCCACGCCTGAAGTCAGTCAGGTCCATCCAGCAGCTTGCTTGCATATGAGGGCTTTCAGGGCTTTCAGGGCTCTCTCAGGTTTTTTCAGGGCTTTCAAGTAACTTCCGAATTTCGGTCAAAGGCTTTCAGGGTTTCGGGTTTAGGGTTTAGGGTTCAGGGTTTCGGGTTTAGATCACAGCACGGCTCAAGGTAGGTTCCCGTTTGTTGGGTAAGGATTCCCCGTTTCAAGGGGCTCATTTCCCAATTCCTTAAGAGATGGCTCTCCAACTGCTTCTGCAACCGGGCACAAAGGCTCATCACGTGGGTTAGTTGCAAGTAGGGGCTGCTGTACTTATGGTTCAAGTCAGGATTCTTAGACCCTATTGATACCCTACTCATGAGCCTGGGTTCCACTTGTTCACTTCGCTCCCCACCCCCCCAACGCACGGTGAAAGCAAGCAATGCCGCGCCTTGCATCCCTATTCCATTCACTTCTTCACCCCCAAAATCCCTAGGGTTTAGGGTTTAGGGTTCAGGGTTCAGGAATCTGTGTTTAGTGTTTAGGGCTTCTAAACCCTAAACTCCCAACCCTTTGCTCACAGCCTCAACCCTTAACCCTTAACCCTTACCCCTGAACCCTAAACTAAACCTTCTGTTCTAACGCTTTTGGGACTTGGCTCTTGGCAGCTTCTGTCCCGATTTCGAGCCCGGGGTGTTGTATGTTACTTTAAACCCGATCATTCAACCCCAAAGCCTAAACCCCCCCCCCCCCCTCCCCAAAACCTCAAAAAGACCCAAACGCAAAACACAAACCCTAAACCCTAAACCCGAAACCCTAAACCCCAAACTCCAAACCTCAAAACCCGAACCCCCCCCTCCCCCCCTCCCCTCCCCCCTGTTTTTGATTACAGCGCCTTCCTCGAGCTGCTAAGCCTTCAGGGCGCTACACGATTAGACAAACAGACTGCGTTCTACACCCTCAAACCCTCAGCGCCCAAATTGAAGGTTTAGGGTTTAGGGTTTAGGGTTCAGGGTTTAGGGTTTAGGGTCTAGGGTGTTCAGGGTGTTCAGGCTGTAGGGTTCCCACACTTCAGGGCCCCTAAGCATTTCCTAAATACCCTTAAGCCCAAAAAACCCCCAAGCAGCCCCGTAACCCCCTCCCCCTAAACCCCCCTAAGCTCCCCCTAAACCCCCCCCCAAATCCCCCCCTAAGCATTTTCTAAATGAGCCGCAAAACCTTTCTCCCCAACCGAGGAACGTGATTGAGAAGGCAGGTCTCGCAGAGCCGGGGCTGTTGCAGCTTTAGGAATTCGGGTTTAGGGGGGGTTTATGGGGTTTAGGGCTTAAGGGGGGGTTAGGGTTTAAGGGTTTCGGGTTCAAGGGGCTTAAGGGGTTTAGGACTTAAGGGGGTTAGGGTTTAAGGGTTTCGGGTTCAAGGGGCTTAGGGGGTTTCAGGGGTTTAGGGTTTAAGGGGGCTTCGGGCTGTTAGGGGGGTTTAGGATTTAGGGCTTCGGGAAGTTTGGGGTCCAACTACGGGTTTTGCAGTTCCGTCTCGGGCTAGTTTGACTTCACCCCGGCTTCCGAGGCTTGAGGATTAGAGAGGATGTTGGCTCTTAGGGCTTTGGGTTTAGGGTTTAGGGTTTAGGGTTTTGGGGGGGCTTCAGTAGCTTGGTCAACGTCATGGGTTTGCGGGGTTTGTGTGGGGCCTGGGGGCTTGGAGGGCTTAGTGCTTTGTCGTTTCTTGCAACTTCACCCCAGGCTTCATAGCCCCAGGACTCCCCCGGCCCCCTTACCCCCCACGCCGTCGCTCTGTTCCACCAGAAGTCAGGGTTCTAACCCTGAACCCTAAAGCCTAAACCCTAAACCCTAAACCCTAAACCCTAAACCCTAAACCCTAAACCCTAAACCCTAAACCCTAAACCCTAAACCCTAAACCCTGAACCCGAAACCGCGAGGGCGCGACTTGAAGGCAGAGCCCTCTTCCCTGCCCCCCCACCCCACCCTCTGCGGTGGCAGGAGCAGATGAAGCTTGCGGACGCTGAGGCGGCCAAGGACGACGGAAGCTGTCGAGTTGCCTTAGAAGGGCTTCAAGCCCTTTTTTAGGACTTAAAGCCTTATAAAACCCTTCTTCAAACCCTTTTAAGACTTAAAGCCTTATAAAACCCTTCTTCAAACCCTTTTAAGACTTAAAGCCTTATAAAACTCTTCTTCAAAAGCCTTTGAAAACGTAAAGCCTTCTGAGCCCTTTCAAGCCTTGTTAAAACTTCAAGCCCTATACGCCCTGTTCCAAACCCTTGTAAAACCAAAAGCCTTGTAAACCCTTCAAACCCTTTTTAAGCTTAAAGCCTTCTACGAACCCTTTTCCAGACCCCTCAGGGGTTTATGGCCTTTTTTGGGGTTTTGGGGTTCGGGGGTGGTTTTGGACTTCCCCCTGAAAACCCCCAGGTTGATGGCTTCATGATAAAGCGGGCATTTTCTTCATGTGCCGCTGTAGGCTCCCTCATCTTTTCCGCCCTTTGAAAATCCTTTGATGGCCTCAATGTCTCCCGGGTTTAGGGTTTAGGGTTTAGGGCTTAGGGCTTAGGGTTTAGGGTTTAGGGTTTAGGGTTTAGGGGCATTTGGAAGGACTTGGACGATGCTTCGGACGCAGCAGAAGCCTGGCGCCTCTTCCAGGACGTGGGGGGGGGTGGGGGGAGTTGGGGGGCTGAGGGGCACGATGACGGGGTTTAGGGTTTAGGGTTTAGGGTTTAGGGTTTAGGGTTAGGGCGCCTTTTCTAGGCAAACCCTACACCGCAAGCTGTTGAGACTTCAGGGTCTGAGGGGTTCCCAGCGGGCTGGGAGCATCGAAGTAAAACCCCGAACCCATACAAATGCCAAACCCTGAACCCAAGGGCCCCTAAACCCTGTAAACCATAAACCCTGAGCCCCAAACCCTATAACCTTTAAGCCCTGCACCCTGCAACCCTAGAAGCCATGAACCCTGAGCCCTAAACCCTGCACCCTGTACCCCCTAAACCTAAAACACCCTAAACTGTAAACCCTAAACCCTAAGCCCTAAGCCCCAAGCCCTAAGCCCTAAACCCTAAACCCGAAACCCTAAACCTAAACCCTGAAGAGACCCTGAAGCCCTAAGTCCCCTCCTTCTGCTCTACTGTTCAGAGGCGCAGTTTCCCAAAGCCGCTGAGAAGGAAGTGGCAACCCGAGATGGGTGTAGGGTTTAGGGTTTAGGGTTTAGGGTTCAGGGTTTAGGGTGGGTTTAGGGATTGGATTTCTGGAACTTGGGATTTCGAGGTTTACGGTTTTCAGGCTGAGGGTTTGAGGGTTTTGGGTTTTAAGGTTGAGGGTTTTGGGGTTTTGGGGTTTTGGGGTTTTCGGGTTTCAGGGTGTTGGGGTTTTTAGGGCCATTTCAAGGTGTTGGGTGCAGTTTTGGTACCTGGTTGACGGTTGTGCCCTGGGATGTCCCCCCTTATACCAACAGTCCTTAATAGGGATCATAGTAGGGGTCTACTAGAATCCCGATTAAGGACTGTTAGACGCCCTAAACCCCAAACTTGTTTTCTTTTAAATCTGTCTTCCCCTGAACCCTAAACCCTAAACCCTAAACCCTAAATCCTAAACCCTAAACCCTAAACCCTAAACCCCTAAACCCTATTTTTTGGGGGGGATCTGAGATCTACATGACCACGCCCTGCCGTGAAGCGGACATCAAGTACCGCTTCCGCCGGATGAAAGAGGCCATGAAGGCCCGAGGAAGGGTTTAGGGTTTAGGGTTTAGGGTTTAGGGTTTAGGGTCTAGGGCCTGGGGTCTAGGGTTTAGGGTTTAGGGTTTAGGGTTTGGGGTTTTTGCGAGGGATTTTGAGAGGGCTTTTGGGAGGGTTTTTGGAGGGTTTGTGGAGATTTTGTGGAGGGTTTGGGGGTTTTGGGATTTTTTGGTGGGATTTCGGGAGTTTGGAGTTTTAGGACTTTTTGAGTTTACGGCTTAGGGTTGCAGATTGAGGGTTTGGGGTTTAGGGCTGGGAGGGTTGGGGTTTAGGGCTGGGAGGGTAATGGTGGACCCGGTTTGGGGGAAAGCTTGTAGGGACTAACGCCCCAAGCCTGAACCCTAAACGGCCCATTGGGGTTTACCCGAGGTTGAGGGGTCAGGGTTTGGGTCGGTTTGGGGTGTAGAGCTTACGGTCCGTCTAGGCCGCCTGTCATTCAAACGGCGCGCATGTTAAAGTTTCAGGCTTTGGGTTTTGGAGGTGTGTCGAGTGTAGGCCCCAAAGCTTCAGCATGTACTTAAGCTTCTGAACCCAAACACCCCAACCTCGCCCAAACCCCAAACCTGTCAACCCTGAACCCCTACTTGTACCCTAACACCCCAAACCTCTCAACCTCTCAGGCTCTCAACCCCTCGACCTCTCAACCCCTTCGACCGTAGACCCAGCGGAAGTACAAGCAAGCTCTATTCGGGAATGCAACATAGGGGTCGGAAGAATTACTAATATTATTTCCTTATGGTCCCTTATTAACTATACTATAGTGACCCCCCCAAAACCCAAAACCCAAAACCCAAAACCCCAAACCCGAAACCCAAAACCCAAAACCCAAAACCCAAAACCCTAAACCCTAAACCCTAAACCCAATTCTTAAGACCCCTATCGTAGGTGGACTCGGCCACAGCGCTGGAAATTTTGGGCCGCGAATCTTGGATGAAACTCTTCGCGGCAGTGGTCGTGGTGCTTGGGTTGCTTGCGGAGGGTTTAGGGTTTAGGGTTTAGGGTTTAGGGTTTAGGGTTTAGGGGGTAGTTGCAAGTGGGGTTGTTCTTCGGGTGACTGTGATTGCAGGGACGCCGCGCTAACTTCTGAACGCTGCATCCGGTGAAGCTTGTTTAGGCTCATGGCAACCAACCTCACCATAAACCCTAAGCCCGAAACCCTAAGAAAACCCTAAGCCGCCTAAACCCTCTCAACCCTGAAACCCCCAACCCTGGGTTAAGAGTCTAGGGTTTCGGGTTTAGGGTATGGCGCTGCTTGTTTGGAAGTCATCAGGTTTGAGGGTCTGAGGGTTTAGGGTTCAACCCTGCGCTGTAAAGCCTAAACCCTAAAACCTGAGCCCTGAACCCTAAACCCTAAACCCTAAACCCTAAACCCTAAACCCTGAACCCTAAACCCTAAACCCTAAACCTTAAACCCTAAACCCTAAACCCTAAACCCTAAACCCTAAACCCTAACCCTAAACCCTAAACCTAAACCCTAAGCCATCCCTTCCCCAGGACTCCACCCCCATGTTTGTGGACCCCGACTTTGTCCGACGGACCTGGAAAGCCATGGAAGAGGCCCTCCGGCTAAGGATTTAGCGCTTAAAAAAACCCCAAAAAGTAGGGTTAAGGGTTTAGGGTTTAGGGACTCAAATGGTGGATGCTGCTGATGTGGGAGCTGATCTAAATGATCGACTTCTTTTTTTGGTTGCTGTTCCGGTATATATTCCTCAGCCGAAACAGGGCTCGTCACTACGTCAGATCGACACCCAGGTAGCCCTAAACCCTGAATCAGAGTTCGAAGCCCCAAGCTTCCCTAAACCCTAAACCCTGAACCCCTAAACCCTCAACCCTAAACCCTAAACCCTAAACCTTAAACCCTAAACCCTAAACCCTAAGCCCTAAACCCTAAACCTTAAGTTCCCAATAAAAGCCCCAGCCCCGAGAGTCCCAGCCCCCTACCCCTCCCAGTCGATGCAGGTGACTGGGCGCGAGGACGCGCTGGAGAACATTGCCGAGCCCTCAGCCATTCTAAGGAGCAGCTGCAAACAAGCCCGCAGTCCTAAACCCTAAACCCTAAACCCTAAACCCTGAACCCTAAACCCTAAACCCTAAACCCTAAACCCTAAACCTTACCCTAAACCCGTGGGACCCCCCTCAGGTCTTGAAGCATCCCGGCTCCTTGGTCACTCAACCCCAGCTGCGGCCTCAGCCGCGTTTTGCACCAATGCCTCCCCCCAGGGTTTAGGGTTTAGGGTTTAGGGTTTAGGGTTTAGGGTTTAGGGTTTAGGGTTTAGGGTTTAGGGTACAACATCAACCTCAGAGGGTTTGGGGGTTTCGGGTTTAGGGGCGAAGGAGCTTAGGGTTTGGGGGGTTTAGGTTTGGGATTCTGGAAGTTTGGGGTTTTGGCGGTTTGGGGCTTAGGGTTTCGGGTTTGGAGTTTGGGGGGCTTAGGGTTTGGGGTTTTGGGGTTTGGTTTTTTCGGCGAAAGCCCGTAAATCCAGAAAGCCGTCAGCCTAGTGCCCAACCCCCGGGTTCAGGGTTCAGGGTTCAGGGTTTAGGGTTTAGGGTTTAGGGTTTGGGGTCTTCGGCTTTTTTGGGTGTAAGGGATTGAGGATCTAGGGTTTGGGGTTTGGGTTTTAGGGCTTTGGGGTTTGAGGTCCAACCCTAAGCTGAAGCCCTAAACGACTCTTATCCCCTCTATATAACCAGTATACTTCAAGCCTAAAACCAAAACCCCAAACCTAAACCCAAAACCCCAAACCTAAACCCAAAACCCCAAACCCTAAACCCTAAACCCTAAACCCTAAACCCTAAACCCTACACCCTACACCCTAAACCCTAAACCCTAAAACCCTAAACCCTTAAACCCTAAACCCAAAACCCAAAACTCCAACCCTAAATCCTAAACCCTAAACCCTACACCCTAAACCCCTAAATCCTAAACCCTAAACCCCTAAACCCCTAAACCCCTAAACCCTGAACCCTAAACCCTAAACCCTAAAACCCTAAACCCTGAACCCTAAACCCTAAACCCTAAAACCCTAAACCCTAAACCCTAAACCCTAAACCCTAAACCCTAAACCCTAAACCCTAAACTCTAAAACCCTAAACCCTTAAACCCTAAACCCTAAACCCCAAACCCTAAACCCGAAACTCCAACCCTAAATCCTAAACCCTAAGCCCCTAAACCCTAAACCCTAAACCCCTAAACCCTAAACCCTAAACCCTGAACCCTGAACCTTAAACCCTAAACCCTAAAACCCTAAACCCTAAACTCTAAACCCTAAACCTTGAACCCTAAAACCCAAAACCTCTTAAACCCTGAACCCCCCAAGCCCTAAGCCCCCTAAACCCAAACCCTAAACCCCTAAACCCTAAACCCTAAACCCCTAAACCCTAAACCCTAAACCCTGAACCCTAAACCCTAAACCCTAAACCCTAAACCCTAAAACCCTAAAACCCTAAAACCCTAAACCCTAAACCCTGAACCCTAAACCCTAAAACCCTAAACCCTTAAACCCTAAACCCTAAACCCAAAACTCCAACCCTAACTCCACCCTAACTCCTAACCCCTAAGCCCTAAACCCCTAACCCCTCGAAACCCGAAACCCTAAACCCTAAACCCTTAAACCCTAAACCCTAAACCTTTATCCCTAAAACCCGAAACCTCTTAAACCCTAACCCCCTAAGCCCTAAACCCCCTAAACCCAACCCCCTAAACCATAAACCCCCTAAACCCTAAACCCCAAACCCCACACCCTAGAAACCCCAAACCCCAAACCCTAATCCCTAAACCCTAATCCCTAAACCCTAAACCCTAAACCCGAAACCCTAATTCCTAAAACCCTAACCCTAAACCCTAAACCCCACACCCTAAACGCTAAACCCTAAACCCTAAACTTCCCCAAACCTCCAAGCCCTGAAGCACAAGAACACCTCGGCTCCCTGGCTCCTTGCGAAGGGTCCGGAGTCGGCCCGTTGAGGGTTTGAGAGGTTTAGGGTTTAGGGTTTAGGGTTTAGGGTTTAGGGTTCAGGGTTTAGGGTTTAGGGTTTAGGGTTTAGGGTTAGGGTTTAGGGCTTAGGGTTTGAGGGGTTTTGAGGGGTTTTGAGGGGTTTGAGGATGTTTGAGGGGTTTAAGGCATTGGTGGGGTGGCTCTTCGGCTTAGGGCTTTAGCATTTTGAGCCAGGGTTGAATGTTTTCAAGTTGTAGGGGCTAGGGGTTTAGGCTTCAGGGGTTTTTCTCGTTCGGGACCTGCTTTTTTTTGGGCTGCTGCTCTTCAGGTAGAGGCTGTAGGGTTCAGTTCTGGGGCCACCGCCTCCAAGGAATGTGGAGGCAAAGATCAACGAGATCAAGACGGGCGCAGCTGCCACTTGGCGTGACGTTTCTCCTAGGTTCCCCCCTATACTTAGGGCTATTTAGGGATAATTAGGCTGAATTAAGGATTTGAAGGGGGGAACTTTGGGGGGGGGGGGGGGGGTGTAGAGGGGGGTAGAAACCCTGAACCCTCACCCCTAAACCCTGAGCCTAACCCCTAACCCCTAAACCCTAAACCACCCTACAGCCCTAAACCCTACTACAACCTAATCCACAAAACCCAAGTCCAGAACCCTTGCATTTGCGCGGCGGCCGAGGTCATTGGAGCCTTTTCCGACATGGGCAAGTCCCTGCAGGGGATGCCATGAGCTGAGAGTTTGGGGGTTTAGGGTTTAGGGTTTAGGGTGCTCAGGGTGCTGCTAGGAGGGTTCTGGCAGGTTTAGGGTTCAACGCCTGAGGTGGGTTAGGCTGAGGGTTCGGCTGGTTTAGGGTTTACTTGCAGGGCTCAGTCTTGCACTCAGCAGCCCACTCTGCAAGATCAGGCATGCAACAGTCCGAATCTAGGGGGGTTCTGGGCTTAGGGCTTCAGGTTTAGGATGCCCACAGCCCGAACACCCCCCACCTACTATCAGGGTTTGAGGATCAGGGTTTGAGGATCAGGGTTTGAGGATCAGGGTTTGGGGTCCTAAACCCTAAACCCTAAACCCTAAACCCTAAACCCCAAACCCCTAAACCCCAAGTCCCCAGATTCGGTTCCGAGATGCTGAGGTTCAGATGAGCTGGGAAGCTGAGCACTTGGCCCAGTTTTCTTGAGAGCCTGCTCACCCCATACCCTAAACCCTAAACCTAAACCCTAAACCCTAAACCCTGAACCCTAAACCCTAAACCCTAAACCCTAAACCCTAAAGCCCCAAAACCCTCGAACACCCGATACCTAAACCCGAAACGTCAACCTTGAAGCCTCTGACCCTAAGCCTTTACGCCCTAAACCCTAGCCCTAATCCCTAAGCCTTTAGGCCCTAAACTGAAAGCTCTATACACTAAACCCCATAAGCCCTGTAGCCTAGGCCCCGAAATCCCTGACGCCTAAACCCGCAACCCGAAAGACCCTAAAGCCTATGCCCTAAACCCCAAACCGTAAACCCCAAACCCCAAGCCCTAAACCCTAAACCCTCAAACCCTAAACTCTAGACCCTAAACCTCTAGAGCGTATGGTTTGGGCGCGCAGTGCTCCCTCGATGCTCTGCTCCAGGCCGACCTCATGCTTTTGCCTTTCAAGGGGTTTAGGGTTTAAGGTTTAGGGTTTAGGGTTTAGGGTTTAGGGTTTAGGGATTTAGGGTTTAGGGTTTAGGGTTTAGGGTTTAGGGATTTAGGGTTTAGGGTTTAGGGGTTCTGGCAGGTTTTGGAGTTGAGTGGTTGGGGTGCAGTCGCTCCTTCTCAGCACTGATGGATCCCAGCTGTGCGCGCTGCAACAGCAGGCATGTGGGCCTGGCCGTGTAGGTGCTCGGAGCGCTCTCTAAGACCCTCCTTTATTGGGTCGCACCTCAGTGGGCATGCGGAGTGGCTTCAAGTTTGGGTTTCACCCTAAACCCTAAACCCTAAGCCCTAAACCCTAAGCCCTAAACCCTAAACCCTAAACCCTAAACCCTAAACCCTAAACCCTAGACCCTAAACCCCAAGGTACCTTCACGTCAGAGTTCTGCAGGATTCGTAGGGGTTCCCCAATCTTTGTTGCCCTTTCTTGGGTACTTAATAGAGTAGGAACCCCCGCAAAGTCTTGGAGGATCAAAGTATAGCAATACGAGCCTCGCGAAGCATGTAATATCACAGGTCAGGGCTTCAAGCGGCTACTCTTCAGCTCATCTGTTCGCGGTTTCGTACCGCTTTAGGGTGTCGGGGTCTGCGGGTGTCGATCAGAAAGGGCTCCCCTGAGCCTGAAACCTGCGGTTTAGGGTTTTAGGGTTTAGGGGTTTAGTGCTTTAGGGTTTAGGGCTTAGGGGTTTTAGGGCTTAGGGTCTTAGGGTTTAGGGGTTAAGGGTTTCAGGGCTTAGGGCTTGGGGGTTTGGGGGTCAGGGTTTGGGGGTTAAGGGTTTAGGGTTTAGGGGGCTTGGGGCTTAGGCTTTAGGCGTTTAGGATTTTTTAGGGTCTAGCGTACAGATCTCACCCCACCTCGCGGGGCAAACCCCATGACGCCTTTCGCGCCGCGCCGCGGCGCGAATTTTTAACACCGCCGACGTGTGCCTGCTGGCCGAAATGAAGGCCTCCGCTGGCACCATTCCTCCTCCGACCATGTGGCAAGTGAAAGGTGCGCCGCAGAGGTTCGCGAAGTCTGGTGCCTAAAGCCCACCTCAAAGCCCGAGCCTAAGCCACTAAACCCCTACCTCCAGAAACCCAACCAAGTGCCTGAACATATTCAAACCTCCCGTCTCCCAATATCTTCCCATGTCATTTTGTAAGGGAGGGGGAGAGGGTCGAGCATCAGGTCCAGGATTTCGGGACTTGGGCCATCATTCAGCAACACCCTGATCTGGGGCATGGTCTAGAGTTGTACTTGCTGACCCTGGCCCTATTCGCTTCGCCTACTGACTTCAACCCAAAACCGAAGCCCACTCCAGAGGCCCCCCCCCCTTACCCCCCCCGCCTAAACCCTAAACCGTAAACCGTAAACCGTAAACCCTAAACCCTAAACCCTAAACCCTAAACCCCAAACCCTAAACCCTGAACCCTAAACCCTAAACCCCAAGCTCCTTCTGGCGCAGCCTGCCGGCTCATAGGTTGGGGGAGAACTGGGGAAGGTACCAGGGCCAGAGACGCCCCTGCTCATAAGAACGCATGGCGGCCGGGAGCTCGGGGTGTTTCGAGGGGGTTTTGGGGTTTAGGGTTTAGGGTTTTAGGGTGTTTTGGGGTGTTTCAGGGTGTTTTGGGGTGTTTTCGGGGGTTTTCGGGTGTTTTCGGGTGTTTTGTATGGAGCTTCGAGGGTGCTTTAGGGTTTAGGGTGTTAGGGTGGTAAGGTTTAGAGTGTAGGGTTTAGGGTTTCAGGGTTTCAGGGTTTCATTGTGTTTTTGGGGGGTTTTGGGGTTTTAGGGTGTTTTAGGGTGTTTGGGGGTGTTTTGGGGTGTTTTGGGGTGCCTTGGGGTGTTTGGGGTGTTTGGGGTGTCTTGGGGTGTTTTGGTTTGGTTTGGGGTGTTTTGGGGTGTTTCAGGGTTTCAGGGTGTTAGGGTTTTTTTCGGTGTTAGGGTTTAGGGTGTTAGGGTTTTGAGTTCCAGGGCTTTAGGGCGTTTCAGGGTTAGGGTTTGCGCGTTTGCGGTTTTGGTTTTGGGGCTCTGGGGCTTCAGGGTGTCAGGGGTTTTGGGGTTTAAGGGTGTTTAAGGGTGTGTTAGATTTTTTTGAGGGTGTTGTAGGTCTTTTTAAGGGGATGTGCTAGGGATTTGTTGTAGTTGTTTTGCTTCGTTTTGGTAGGGCTTCTTTGTAGTGCTTGCAGGGTTGTAGTGTCAGGAGCCAATGGGTTTAGCGGTTGCACCCCCAAGACCTCAAACCGAATGAGCCCTGCTGCCCCTTCCCCCCTTTCCCCCCAGAGAGAAAAGCAACACGAAAGCTAAGCCCATTAAACCGGCCTGAGCCTGGAACCCTGAAGCCCCGAGTCCCAAACCTAACCCCCCCACACCCAATAACCCTAAACCGAAACCCTCTCTCTCGCTCTCGCTCTCGCTCTCGCTCTCGCTCTCGCTCTCGCTCTCGCTCTCGCTCTCGCTCTCGCTCTCGCTCTCGCTCTCGCTCTCGCTCTCGCTCTCGCTCTCGCTCTCGCTCTCGCTCTCTCTCTCTCTCTCTCGCTTTTTTCTATCTTTTTTTCTCTCTCTTTCTTAAAAATATACAGATGGATAGATAGATCTATAGATATGCACAACCCTGCTCAGGCCCGTTCCCATTGCCCCACGCGGCCAAGCCGATCAGGCTTCGAGCCACGACCTTCAGGGTTCAGGCTTCAGGGGTTTTAGGGCTTTTCGGGCTCAGGGTTTAGGGCCTCTGCGCATCTGCGACCTTCATGCCCTGAGCCTTATCCCCGAGTTTCCCCCCAGCCCTTATACGCCCTAAACCCCTGAACCCCTGAACCCAAAACCCCAAATCCTGAAACCTAAACCCTAAATCCCCAAAACCCAAAACCCAAAACCCAAAACCCAGAACCCTAAACCCTAAACCCTAAACCCTAAACCCACCACTTTAAAACTGCCGCCGTACTCGGGATCCGGAGCAGTTGGGACTTCTGCCGGGTTTTGGGCATCCTCGTCAACTTCGGATTCTCCTGCAAAGAGGATTGGAGTCATCAGCCCCGAAGTCCCCTAGGTTTGGGTTTAGGGTTTAGGGTTTAGGGTTTAGGGTTTAGGGTTTAGGGTTTAGGGTTTAGCAGGCGTTGCGGCTTGCGCCATGGCCTGCGGTGCAGCAGGCGCGGGCGAGCTAGGAACCCTGAAGCTTTGAGTGGCTGTCGGGTGTAGGGTTTAGGGCCCCTAAGGGGGCCTTTGGGGGCCTTTCGGATGTGAGGTTTAGGGTTTAGGGTTCAGGGTTTAGGGTTTAGGGTTTAGGGTTGAGGGTTTAGGGTTGAGGGTTTAGGGTTCAGGGTTTGGGGGAGAAGCGTGAACGCGAAACCCGCTCCCGTTCCTTCGATTGTTGGGGGCTGTCAGGGCCCCAGGGGTTCGGAACGAAGACCCCGAGAGCCTACGTCCTACACCCTAAACCCTAAACCCGAAATCCGAAACCTTAAGCCCTAAACCCTATTCCTTACTGAAGGGGTCTTTGGGCTCCAGAATTGCATGAGGAGCCGTGTCTCTGGCAGCGCTGCATGAACTTTGCCTTTGATGGGCTGCTTGGGCCCCGGGGTCGCACAAGGGCAGTGTGTAAGGCCCATGGGCTCAACAGGGCCGATGGGGGCTCCATAGGGCCTATGGGCCCTAAACCCTAAACCCTAAACCCTAAACCCTAAACCCTAAACCCTAAACCCTAAACCCTAAACCCTAAACCCTAAACCCGGGCTCCATAGGGCCAAGGGGGCTTTATGGGGCCGAGCCTCGGGGAATATGAGCTGGTCGGTTGGGGGGGGGGGGGTTTAGGCTTTCCGGGCCATCATGGAGTCCGCCTAAACCCTAAGCCCTCAACCCTAAAAGCGCTGTGGAGGACTCACTTTCACACTGGCCTCGCGGCCTGCGACGCAGGTAGGGCAGCGAGCATTCTTCAGTTGTTCAGGGTTTAGGGTTTAGGGTTTAGGGCGGCAAACATGCTGGGCCGATCTCAACTATGTTCCTTCCTTGGTACTTGAACCTATACGGAATGCATTGTTTGGGGTTGAGAGTTTAGGGCACATAGGGGTGTACAAGTTCTAACCCCAAGCTCCCTAAACCCTAAACCCTAAACCCTAAACCCCCAAACCCCAAACCCTAAACCCCAAACCCTCAGCCCTAAACCCAAGAGACGGCCCGAAGTTCATGGAGCCCCCACTCTTTCGAAACTTGTTGCTTATCCCTGATACCATCTGGCCGTACCCTGGACAAGGAGCTCCTCAAGTTTGGTAGAAAGGTCTTACAAGGCACAGCGTGCGAGAAAAGTGTGGACAAATACAAGGCCCTCTCAAACGACCATGTGTGGCGCCTCCTGCGTTCTGCACCTACAGCTGTTGAATTGTCAGTGCAACGCCTGCAGTGGTGGCAGCGCATTGTGGCTAGGCCCGAGGAGCACCTCGCGCTCCTCTTCACATTTTTCGGGCACATCCCTGGCACTCCGGCGCCTTTCGACGAGAACGGTGCCATCCATGATCGGTCACACGCTTGGATGCGACAGCTGGGTGAAGACATTCGACAGCTGGATACATGGGACAGCAGTGGTTTCATGGTGCAGGCGCCTGATGTGCGTACCCTGGACAAGGAGCTCCTCAAGTTTGGTAGAAAGGTCTTACAAGGCACAGCGTGCGAGAAAAGTGTGGACAAATACAAGGCCCTCTCAAACGACCATGTGTGGCGCCTCCTGCGTTCTGCACCTACAGCTGTTGAATTGTCAGTGCAACGCCTGCAGTGGTGGCAGCGCATTGTGGCTAGGCCCGAGGAGCACCTCGCGCTCCTCTTCACATTTTTCGGGCACATCCCTGGCACTCCGGCGCCTTTCGACGAGAACGGTGCCATCCATGATCGGTCACACGCTTGGATGCGACAGCTGGGTGAAGACATTCGACAGCTGGCTACATGGGACAGCAGTGGTTTCATGTCTGCGGCTGCTGACGGGCCGCTCGTGCTGTTCGTTGATGCAGACTTCCGTGAAGCCTTCTTGCAACAAGATCCGGCAGAACTCAGGACGAGGTACTTGGGAGGCCTGGTCCCCCCTCCAGGTTTGTCGCTTCCGTCTGCTGCGCCTCCAGGAGCGGATGCCGCCGATGAGACTTTTGCATGTGATGCGCTGCTCGCTGATGGCCAGCCGTGCAATGCCACCTTCCCCACTTACCGTGCTCTCGCAGTACATCTGGCTCACAGCAAACAACATGAACAAAGGCGCTCTTTGGCAACACTGCTCACCATCAGTAACCAGTGCTGCGCATGCCGGGCTACCTTGGCCTCTGTGCGAGTGGCGCGCAACCATTTGCATGATAGCATCAGACGAGGGTACTGTAGCCGGACGGCAGGCAGCGCTACAGTGCATCAAGTACACGCGAGCTTGCCTTGCAAGTGTGCAATCTGTGATGTTCCGCTCCGACTGCTGGGTGAGGCTCAAGCACACTTGGCGTCGCACCTGCCCACTGCGTTCCGGAGACCGCGCATCGACTACTACTTCCAGCGCCATGGCCGACCAGTGGGCAGCGCACCTTCGGCCTCAGCTTGAAGGCGAGAAGCCAGCCAAGACCAGGGCCGTAGCGAGCAACAAGTCGGACCTTGAGCGAGAGCTACTCCTGATCATCACACGCTTGAGCCTCAAGAATGCGGCAGACTTGCGATTGCTCTGTAGCATGGCTTACTCCACCATCAAGTTTGAGGCGAATCATGGGGCGATCAAAGCTTGTGAACAAGCTCGCCAGCTTCATGCCGACCGCACACGTGGCCACTCTGGCCACCAAGAAGGACAACCAGATGAGTACGCCCTGGTTGCTTTGCTCCTTTGCTTGAAGGCCAATCTCGGGGCAGCTGACCAGGAGATCATCGAGCGCTTCCTTGCGAGCCACCCGCCCAAGGCTTCGCAGCTCGCTGGTGCAGTGAAGGTTTGCCGTGTCCAGAATGTGCGCGTCTCCACGCACAAGAAGCTCTTCTTGCGACTCAGCGATGAGCACAAAGACATGGAAAAGGCTCTTGTTAGCGCGCTCGTTGCTGATAGAGGCATCCAGCTCTTCGGGCAGGCGCCACGTGGTTCTATGGAGCGCAAAGCCATGGATCTCATGCAAAAGCTTGGAGTGAAGAATGAACATGTCGAGTGAGAGGTTATGCATACAAGTAGTTTACGGGCAGTGTGTACGGGGTTCGCATTGGCAGCTACGCTCAGCTGTGCTGGTAGCTTGCCGCTTGCTTGCCCGCTCGTACAGCTCTACCGCGCTTTTGGCGCAGAGTGCAGCGATGTCAGTGATGCAGGCAACAGTCCCTGCTTCTCCCTGCAGCCACCTTCGAACACAAATTTTGATCTGGTGCTGCTGTGTTTCCCGCAAGGTTGTACACATTTAGGTACCAGAGACCTGCTTGACGAGGACGGTTGCCCTGAGGAGTGCGCAAGCAAGCAAGATACCATCTGGCCCCATACCCCATATAGGGGTTTATAGGGATATGGGGTTTAGGGTTTAGGGTTTAGGGTTTAGGGTGGGGAACATTACTGGCGTCCTTCTGATAAGGGAATCCCATGATTTGGGGATCTATATTGGGGGGCCCCTTCTTTAAAAACAAACAAATCCCCATATGGCCCCATAGTCACTGTAGCCCTAAGCCCTACAACCCCTAAACCCCATATTCCCTAAACCTTCACATCTCGAACCCTATAATCCCTGATCCCTATAAACCCCCAAACCTTAAACCCCTAACCCTAAACCCCAAACCCGAAACCCTAAACCCGAAACCCTAACCCTAAACCCTAAACCCTAAACCCTAAACCCTAAACCCTAAACCCTAAACCCTAAACCCTAAACCCTAAACCCTAAACCCTAAACCCTAAACCCAACAAGGCCTCACAGAAGCCACCTCCAACGCTAGGCTACGGAGGCGCCCCCTCGGACGGTCCAAGGCGTGACCACCACGCCGGAGGCTGGGTTTAGGGTTTAGGGTTTAGGGTTCAGGGTTTCGGGTTTCGGGTTTCGGGTTTTAGGAGGTTCAAGGGTTTAGGGGTTAGGGGGGGTTTAGGGTTTAGGAGTTAGGGGTTTGAGGTTGGGGGTTTAGGGGTTTAGGGTTTAGGGTTTAGGGGCTTGAGCTGTAGTGGTTTGGGGTTTAGCGTGCTAGGCTTTGGTGTTTGGTGTCTTGGGTTTGGGCATCGTTATGGTTTGGGGATCCTTGCCCCTAAACCCTACGTGAACCTCAAACCCCAAACCCCAAACCCCAAACCCCAAACCCCAAACCCCAAACCCCAAACCCCAAACCCCAAACCCCAAACCCCAAACCCCAAACCCCAAACCCTAAACCCTGAACCCTGAACCCTAAACCCTAAACCCTGAACCCTAAACCCCCCTATGCCCTAAAACCTTAATACCTGAACCCTAATTTCCAGCAGGGCCTTGCGGCTTCTGCCGCTCCACTGGCCGTGGGCCTCATGGGCCGAAGACTTGGCTTTAGGGATTTTTGCACTTTCGGGGTTTTAGGGTTTAGGGCTAGGGTTTAGGGTTTAGGGTTTAGGGTTTAGGGTTTAGGGTTTAGGGTTTAGGGTTTAGGGTTTAGGGTTTAGGGTTCTTGGCGTTTTAAAGGGCTTTTAGGGTTGTCGGGTCTTTCCAGGTTTTGGGGCGTTTAGGGTTTTAGGGCTTCATTGCGTTTCAGGTGTAGTGTTTCGGGTTCAGGGTTTCGGGCTTAGGGTTTCGGCTTGAGGGTTTGGGGTTTAGGCTTCAGGGTTTTAGGGTTCAGGGTTGGCTTACGGGGGGGTTCCGGGTCTAGGGGCCTTAGATTTCCGGGGCTTGCAAAGCTTACTGTTGTTTTTGGGATTCGGCCTTGGGTGGGGCTTTTTAGGTGCCAGGGTCTAGTGTCAAAAAACGCCTGTATACCCTTGGCATGCTTACGGGTTGTAGGGTGTTGGAGTGAACGTATGTCACATTTTGCGGTAGGGACTCAGGGTTTGGGGTTTTGAGGGGTATAGGCCGATATAGGATTCAGGTCTGTTTAGAGGTATCGGTTTAAGGCTGAGGGTTTTGGGTGCAAGGTTTAGGGTTTAGGGATTCAGCGTTTTTTAGAGGTATGAGGTTCAGTTCAGGGTTCGGTGTGTTTTCATTCTGGTGCTTAGGGTTAGGGGGTTGAGTTTTAGGGTTGGGCGTGCCAAACGGAAGCGTGCTTTGTGAGCCCTCATTGGTCTGCAGACCTAGTCTCATGGAGTTTAAAGGCTTTCCTTTTTCACAAGGCAACGTGTACTTTTGACGCAACGTGATTTTGACAAACTTGATATGAAACTCTTCACTCAAGCCACCGGTGGCTTGGGACACTTGGGTCGCTTGGGGTCATTTGGGACACGATTTGGGATAGCTGGATGACCTGGGTCGCTTGCGATACTTCGGGACACGTGGCACTCCTATCCAGGCACAGCCTGCAACCCTAAACCCTAAACCCTAAACCCTAAACCCTAAACCCTAAACCCTAAACCCTAAACCCTAAACCCTAAACCCGAAACCCTAAACCCTAAAGCCCTAAACCCTAAAGCTGTCTCTGTACGTGGAAGAGTTTGGCCGAACATTGTACGCGCAAGGGGCTACGAAGAGGGAGTTCGCGGAGACAGTCAGGATGGTGGTACAGAAGCTTCTGTTCTTGAGAGCTTTCAGGACGGGCCAATGGAGGTTGCTCACGACATGGGAAGCTGTGATGAGTTTTGCGTCCCAGCAGAAGTTCATCCCACCTTCAACTGTAAAACCTAAACTGTAAACCCTAAACCCTAAACCCTGGAACCTTTCAAACATAAACCCCTAGTAAGCCCAACCAAAGCCCTAGACCCCAAAATAGATCATGCAATCAGGCCCTCGATAGACCCTACGACCCTAAGACTCAGAAACTTGAACCCTGAGCCCCCTTAAACCCCAAACCCCAAACCCCAAATCCCAACCCTAAACCCCAAACCCAACCCTAAACCCTAAACCCTAAACCCTAAACCCTAAACCCTAAACCCTAAACCCTAAACCCTAAACCCTAAACCCTAAACCCAAAACCCTAAACCCCAAGCCATAAACCCTAAACCCTAAATCCTAAACCCTAAACCCTAAAAGTTGTGCGCCCATATCAAGGCGGGCTCTCGCTCGCCTCCTCACGCTCTGCGCGCAGACTGGCGGCCCGGAGGCTGTTTAGGGTTTAGGGTTTAGGGTTTGGGGTTTGGGGTTTAGGGTTTAGGGTTTAGGGATTTAGGGTTTAGGGGCTTAGGGTTTAGGGTTTTAGGGGTTAAGGGTTCTCCATGCCCAAAACACCGGTATTTGCAGCGCTTTTGCTCCTCTACACAACATGACGCACTGTCAGAAAGCTTATGCGAACGGTGTGTCGTCATGACGCTCGAACCACTAACAAGTACCCTAAACCCTAAACCCCAAACCCTAAACCCTAAACCCTAAACCCTAAACCCTAAACCCTAAACCCTAAACCCCTTCAAACAATCTCCCACGCCAGGGCGACGAACCCGGAGCTCACGGAAGACTTCGACGATGACCGCGTGCAGCGTTTCAGGGGTTTTGGGGGTTTAGGGTTTAGGGGTTAGGGTGTAGGTTTAGGGTTTAGGGTTTAGGGTTTAGGGTTTAGGGTTTAGGGTTTAGGGTTTAGGGTTTAGGGTTTAGGGTTTAGGGTTTAGGGTTTAGGGTTGTTTTAGGTTTAGAGGCTAAGGGTTTTCGGGTTTCAGGGTTTAGTTTTCGTTTCTCTCGGTTTAGAGGCTGAGGGCTTTCAGGGTTTTAGGGTTTTAGGGTTCTGGGGTTTAGGGTTTAGGGTTTTAGGGTTTAAGGTTTAGGGTTTTTTAGGTTTAGAGGATGAGGGTTTCCAGGGTTTTAGGGTTTTGTGTTTGAGGGGTTTAGGGTTTTAGAGTTTAGGGTTTTAGGGTTCTAGGGTTTCAGGGTTTTGGGGGGTTTTGGCTTTTGAGGGCTTAGGATGTTGAAGGTTTGGGGTTGCACGGCTTAATTCCCCAAACCCTAAACCCTAGACCTTTAACCCTAAACCTTTAACCCTAAACCCTAAACCCTAAACCCTAAACCCTAAACCCTAAACCCTAAACCCTAAACCCTAAACCCTAAACCCTAAACCCTAAACCCTCACTTACTATGTATATTTAAACCCTAATGGGCTTCGTCGGCATGTGGTTTTTTTCCGAGCCCTAAACCCTGACCCCCTTCGTCGGCATGTGGTTTTTTCTCCTGGGCCCGGACCCAGAATCTGAAAAAATTGAGGGTCATTTCCGCTACATAAATTCTATTTAAAACGAACTGGGACTCGAGCCATTTTTCCCGAATCCTGGGGTCGCCCCCACAAGGGCTCCTGTTTAAGGTCCTGGGGGCAGGGGCCCTAAACCCTGACACCCTTCGTCGGCAAATGGTTTTTTCCCCCGGGAGGCCCCTAAACCCTGACACCCTTCGTCGGCAAATGGTTTTTTTTCTTGGGGGGGCCCGTAAACCCTGACGCCCTTCGTCGGCAAATGGTTTTTTTCCCCCCGGGGGGCTCTAAACCCTGGCGCCCTTCGTCGGCAAACGGTTTTTTCCAGCCAGGGGGGGGGGCCTAAACCCTGACCCTTCGTCGGCGAATGGTTTTTTTCCACCCGGGGGGCCCTAAACCCTGACACCCTTCGTCGGCAAACGGTTTTTTCCTTTTTTCCCTCCCAATGGCATTTGGGGCATAGGGTTTATTGCTCGTAGGGTTTGGGGCATTGGGTTTAGGGCCGTTTGGGACTCTTGGGGTTTGGGGCATAGGGTTTAGGATTTGGGGCATAGGGTTTGGGGTCTATTGTGGACCTTAGATTTCGGGCTTTGGACCAATTGGACTTTGAGCTTTAAGCCTACCGGGAAAGTATTGAGTGAAATTTATATGTTCTCAATGTTATGGGTTTCTTGGGTGGGTGTTTTTTTTCCAACGCTTGACAAGCTGCTTGACTAGTGAATGCTTGGACTTGAGATGCTGAACCCTAAACCCTAAACCTTAAACCCTAAACCCTAAACCCCTGCCCCCTGAACCAGGGTTTGGGTTTCAGGCTTCAGGAAACTCAGGGGGAGGCTTCAGGGGCTCAAAGGCGGGTTGAGGGCTTCGGGGAGGAACCCTAAACCCTAAACCCTAAACTCTAAACCCTAACCCCAAAACCCTATATAAGAAGGATTCTGTCCGTTTTTAGCGGGTTGCGTCTTCAGGGTTTCGGGTCGTTGTTGGTTGCTGCGCTGTGTGTTGATAAGAGGTATATAAAGGGTTCCCCAATCAAGGGCTCGTGTTGGAGGAGCCACCCTTCGAGATCCGCGGCTTCTCCCTCGCGCAGTTCATCTTGGTCCTAGGCGCCCCCCCCCTTATTGGGAGGGGGCTCCTAGGGCACCCTTTGGGTTCCTTTTGGGAGTTCCTTCTGGGGTTCCTTTTGGGTTTCCTTTTGGGGTTCCTTCTGGGGTTCCTTTTGGGGTTCCTTTTGGGTTCCTTTTGGGGTTCCTTTTGGGTAGGGCTCCTCTTGGGTTCCTAAATCCTTTTATTGGGGGCTCCCAGGGCTCCCTAGGTTTCCTTAGGATTCCTAGGGCCCCTATGGCTCTGAGAGTGCCAGTCACCTAAAAGCCTAAACGCGTGGAGTAGCTATGCCGCAGAATAAGAGAAGCCCTGACAACAAAAGAGAGAGCATCAACAAGCCCAAAAGCCCTGAAACCTAGAACCCTAAATCCCTTGACCCGAAATCCCCTCATTGTGATTGGCTTTGGATAGTTTTGAGTTCCGCATATGAGAAGACATGTGTATGCAGACCAATCAGATGAAAGCCTCTTCTTTGTTGAACTCAGATAAATGCCAGATAGTTAAGTTCAAGCACAAAATAAGATATTAGAGCATTTCTAAGTTCATCGATCGAGTAACTGTATTTAGCCTTCTTGCCACCGGAAATCAACTCAACAGTGCAAGCAAAGTGGTACGGCAGTATCACGACTTTCAGCTTCTCCACAAGTCTTATGCAGCAAATGCAAGGCAATTCTTTGTGCGGTCCATTGCTCGCTTCGCTAGCACTAGAGCATCCAAAACCCTCAGCCCTCAACCCTAAACCCTAAACCCTAAACCCCAAACCCTAAACCCTAAACCCCAAACCCTAAACCCTAAACCCTAAATCCTGGCCATGACGCCCTCGGCGCTTTAGTAGTGGCTTTGGGAGCTTCGGAACCAAGCTTAAGGGAGAAAAGGAGGGACCCCCTTAGAAGGGACCCTTCATCTTCTCCCCGAATGGAACACCTTGTATACATAGTCCCTGCATACCTAAGTAGCCCCCTACATTACCCGTAAGGTCACTCCCCAAACCCACAACCCTAAACCCTAAACCCTAAACCCTAAACCCCAAACCCTAAACCCTAAACCCTAAACCCTCTCGTCTAGTCCCCTGACACGCACGGCAGGATTTGTTCTCGTTGTCGTGTCCTTTGCTGACTACTTTATCTTCGGGACCAGGGGCGGAGGCGAGAACCAGGGAGTCGCGAGGGGGTTGGTTTAGTGCTTGGGGGTTGGGGGGTTTAGGGGTTTGGGTTTAGGGATGTTCAAATAGGGGTCTCGGGTTAACCGCTGAGCGGGGTGCCGGCGGTGTGCTCTCCCCTCAAGACGCGCAAACCCTAAACCCTAAACCCTAAACCCTAAACCCTAAACCCTAAACCCTAAACCCTAAACCCTAAACCCTAAACCCTAAACCCTAAACCCTAAACCCTAGATAGACCCTAAACCCTAAACCCTAAACCCTAAACCCTAAACCCTAAACCCTAAACCCTAAACCCAGAGCCCGATGTTGCTGAGTCCGCTTCGTAGAAGCTGTTCCGGTTGCGAGTTTAGAACTTCGGGTGCAGGTTAGAGTTTGGAGTGTTTCGGGTTCAGGGGGTCGGTTCTCGAGATGGCGGTTTAGGGTTTAGGGTTTTAGGATTTAGGGTTTAGGGTTCAGGGTTTAGGGTTTAGGGACATGTGAGAGTGGCGGTCCCTACATGTAGAAATGTAGAGACCCGACCATCAGGGAGTTCAGATTAATGTTTTTGGGCTTGGGGTTGAGGGGTTTGAGGGTGTAGGGCTTTAAGGTCGCAGGCCCATTATCCTTGTGTTGCAGGACCTTAAGTGCTGAATGTTCATAGGGATTGCTAGACTTCAAGGACAATTCCCTCAGAGTGTTGGGGGAAGTCCCTAAACCCTAAACCCTAAACCCTAAACCCTAAACCCTAAACCCTAAACCCTAAACCCTAAACCCTAAACCCTAAACCCTAAACCCTAAACCCTAAACCCTAAACCCCAAACCCTGAACCGCCTCTGGAAAAGGTGGAGGCATAGGCGGCCTCACCTTCATCTATGCCGTGCCGGTTCTCTTGCTTGGTGCAGCCCGGGCCTTTGTTTTTGCTTGTTTAGGGTCTAGGGTCTAGCTTAGGGTTTAGGGTTTAGGGTTTAGGGTTTAGGGTTTAGGGTTCAAGGTTTGGGGTGAGGGGGGGGGGGGGGCCTTGGAAGGTTTTTCCGGTATGGTCACTTCCGTAAAGTAGGGTCCCTTTTGGGGTCCTTATTCTAAGGCGGCCCCGAATTTATTTCGGGTACCCAATCGGGGACCGCAACGTTGAGCACTGACATACATTTTCCTTGCTGGGTTTAGGGTTTAGGGTTTCGAGTGAAGGGTTAAGGTTAGATCTAGGTTGTGGTCCCTGTAACATACTATACGTTGCAAGGAATATATGATAAACTATGAGGAATAATGAAGAACTTGAAGAGGGTCTATAATTTAACTCAACCCGCCAAGAAGAACTTTCCTCTTTGTATCAGAGACTGCTCGAAAATCCCCTGAACCCCACAAGCATACAAGCGGTTCTGGCATCGAGCTACATCATGGGCTGGGCACTTTTTTGTTTTTTACACCCGAAGCTGTAAGGAACAACTTGAACTAGGGTCCGTACTTTGAGTCCAAGCCCGCACCCCAAACCCTGGACCCTGGACCCTGGACCCTAAACCCTAAACCCTAAACCCTAAACCCTAAACCCTAAACCCTAAACCCTAAACCCTAAACCTTAAACCCAAAACCCGAAACCCCCCCCGCCCTGTCCCGGCCGCGATGCGCAAGAAAAGCCGCGAACCGAGGCTCTGCAATATGCAGAGCTGCAGCCCGTGGAGGCCATGGGGTAGGGTTTAGGGTTTAGGGTTTAGGGTTTAGGGTTTAGGGTTTAGGGGGTAGGGTTTAGGGTTTAGGGTTTAGGGTTTAGGGCTTAGGGTTTAGGGTTTAGGGTTTAGGGTTTAGGGTTTAGGGTTTAGGGTTTAGGGTTTAGGGTTTAGGGTTTAGGGTTTAGGTAGGGTTTAGGGTTTAGGGTTTTGAGTCTGGGGTCTAGGGTCTAGGGTCTAAGGTCTAGGGTCTAGGGGTCTTTAGGGTTTAGGGTTTGGGGTTTGGGGTTTCTTGTTTAGGGTTTGGGGCCTCAAGCGTTGCAAGTTTATGGTTTGTTAAGTTTAGTTCTAGTTTTTGTTTTGGGAGGGGTTGTAGGGCGTGCTATTCATGTGCGCCGCGCAGACATGTGAAACCTGCATTGCGTACGTGGTATGTACACCTGTCACTTGATCTACAGACCTGAAACGGCAAATCCTAAGCCCTATATCCCTAAACCCTAGAACCCTAAAGCCTAAACCCTAAACCCTAAACCCAAAACCCGTAACATTATGGAAATTCTGTGCCCTGGAGTCTGAAACCATATCATGCATGTTGCCCAAAATCCACGCCTTGAAGTTGTGAAGACTTTTCATGTACAGCGTGCCAAGCACTTCGACAGGGCTCACAGAAGCCCTTTTTTAGGTTTAGGGTTTAGGGTTGAGGGTTTAGGGTTTAGGGTTTAGGGTTTAGGGTTTAGGGTTTAGGGTTGGAAAGAATAGGGCGTTTGGGGGTTTAGGGTTGGGGGTCCTGATCTTCGGGATGGGCCCCGAAAATGAGTCTCGGGGACATTCGAAGGCCCTAAGCATTTCCCATGTGGGGTACCTCCCTAGTTGTGAAGGGGTGCCATTGTTTATACTCCAAATACAACAAAATTCCCGCTCAAGGGCCCCCCAAAAGGCTCCCTAATCCCTAAACCCTAAACCCTAAACCCTAAACCCTAAACCCCAAACCCCAAACCCCAAACCCCAACCTGAATGCCAGGTAGAGACCGACAACGACGCCAGGGACACAGCTTCTGGTGCACTGCAAGGGAGACCACAGCATCGGAGTAAACGACGCACAGACAGAAAGATAGCAGACAGCCAGGGAGAGTGAGAGCAAGCGAGAAAGGGCGAGAGAGAGAGAGAGAGAGAGAGAAGAAAACAGCAGCAAAAGAAAGTAATCAGCACAGAAAGACACAAAGATCACAAGAGACAGGAGGGACGGAGAGAGAGAGAGAGAGAGAGAGAGAGCGAGAGAGAGAGAGAGAGAGAGACAGAGAAGAGAGAGTGGGAGGCTTGCAAGCAGAGCGGCTCGCAAGCAACATTTATGAACAGCCGTGATGTGAATATTATTCCTAGCAAGAAAGCAACCCTAAACCCTAAACCCTGAACCCTAAACCCTAAACCCTAAACCCTAAACCCTAAACCCTAAACCCCAAACCCCAAACCCCAAACCCCAAACCCCAAACCCTAAACCCCAATCCTTCCCGCTGGTCGCAAGGCCGTCGGACTCTTCGAGTCGAAAGCCACGACGACCATTCGGAAGGCTTGGGGGGTGGAGGGGCGGTAGGTTCAGGGTTTAGGGTTTAGGGTTTGGGGTTTAGGGCTTAGGGTTTGGGGTTTAGGGTTTAGGGTTTAGGGTTTAAGGTTTAGGGTTTGGGGTTTAGGGTTTGGGTTTAGGGTTTAGGGTTTGGGGTTTAGGGTTTAGGGTTTGGGGTTTAGGAATTTAGGAGGTCTTCAACATGCCTGGATCAGAACCAGTACAGAATGTTTGTGTTCGAAGCAGCGCATAAGGATCACACAAGCCGGTAGAGGTAGAGGAAAGCCTCTCTCGTAGTGGTTACCCACTGTCTCCCGGCATAACTTCTTTTCCCTAACATTGTAGGCCATAACCCCGAAACCCCTAAACCCCTAAACCCCTAAACCTCTAAACCCCTAAACCCCAAACCCCAAACCCCAAACCCCAAACCCTAAACCCTAAACCCTAAACCCTACACCCTACACCCTACACCCTAAACCCTAAACCCTAAACCCTAAACCCTAAACCCTAACCACACCGCTCTCTCGGCGCGGAATTTCAGTACGTCCGTATGGCTGGAGAGATGCAGAAGCCGTCTACAAAGATGGCGCCAAAGCGCAAGCGCGCACGGCCCCCTAGAAAGAAACCTCTAACCCTTGAACCCCAAAGCTCCAAAGCTCCTACACCTTCAAACTCCTAAACCCCAAGCTCCTACACCGTTTAAGCCCCTGAAGCCCCAATGTTCCTACACCTCTAAGCCTCTAAGCGCCTAAGCCGAAGCAACAATCCTCCGCCTCCATTTCTGTGCGCTGCTCAGGTCAAGTCGGACGTGACCCGGCACCGCTACGGCTCCACCGGCGCATTCGAAGTGTAGGGGCTTTAAGGAACCCTATGCGAAAAGGGTTCAGGGTTTCGGATTATGTAGGGTGGGCCTTAGGAACCCTGAAAGGTTTTACGGTCCATATACCTTAGTGGCGGCTATAGTGGGATAGCGTAATTATGGGGTTCAGGGTGTAGGGTATGGGGTTCATCGAGCCCAATATAAAAGGGTTTGAGGTCCACATGCCATGGGGGATTCTCGTAGAATAGGGGATATGGGTAGAGAGAGGGTTTAGAGTTTAGGTTGAAAGCGGGTTGTTGGATGTTTTTGTTTTTAAATTTGAGGGTGTTTCGGATTAGGGCTTTACGGGTGGCTTTAGGGGTTTCGGGGGCTTCAGGGCCTGTGCTTGAATACGTTTAGGGTTCAAGGTTTCGGGCTTAATGAGATGAGGTTAGCGGTTGTGCGGGGTTCCGGGTTTCGGGCGAGGGGAGGCGCTTCATGAGGAGTGAGTGGCGCAATCGGGTGCGCGCTGGATAAGCAGAGGGGTGTGAGGGCTTGAAGTACCCAAACCCTAAACCCTAAACCCTAAACAGAAACCATCAAAGCCTAAACCCTAAACCTCGGCCACGTCGCACGTCTCAAATATCCACCCCCCCCCCCCCCCCCCCCCCCCCCCCCCCCCCCCCCCCCCCCTCGGCCATCCCCCCCCCCCCCCCCCCTCCTCCCCATCCCCCACCCCCCCCGGCCTGCCATCAACTTTGGGTTCCTTTTC